AGTAGCAGGCAAGATAGCAAAAATATACATAGAACATCTATATTTTATAAATTTAACAGTAGCTCGGAAAAAAATCAATAATAGTAATTTATTTTAAGTAATATAATAGTAAAAATGGAAATAGTAACCTATTTTGGACGAAAGTGAATTTTTTTTAATGGCTTGTCAAGAAAAAGCGATAAAAAATAATTTGTGACTAAATGACATTGTACATAGCATACTAACACAGAGTATAATTTACTAGACTTATATTGCATAACTAGGATATATGCTCGTACTGAAGCAAAAATTTATACAGGGTGCCTCCCGAAATTAGGCCGACAGACTCTTCGGATGCTAAAGGACACCAAAACAAGTAATTTTTTCCAATAAACCCATGGTTCGTAAATGAGCACTAGAGTGAATTATTTATAGCAATTATCCGAAGTGTTGGCCATTTACTTCAATACAGAAATGTCAGCAATTTCTTTTCCTGGCTCTGGTTTTTGTTATCTCTTGATAAAAAAAAAAACACGAATAAAAAATTGCTTTATCAAACTAAAGATTGTTGGAAATTTTCAAACAGGTAAAATTAATATTATTTGTTTATTGACTCGCGAGCTCAGCACCACTTTTATTATTTGTCTAAAATTCGTCTTTAAAATGGAAATTTCTTTCAATATACTGGCCGCTTTGCATTTTATTTACAGAAAAGCTAGACGTAAATAGCCAATATTTCGAACAACTGTTGTAAATAATTCACTCTAGTGCCAAAATGGCTCATTTTGGACTAAAGTTTATTGATAAGAATTATTTATTTCGATGTCCTTCATAAGCACTCGAAGTTTATCAGTCTAATTTTGAGACACCATGTACGTAACAGCAATAAACAAAGTTTGATCAGATATATTTTTAATCCGATTGTGTGCGTATATAAATTTATCATGCGCATAAGGAAACGTCAGAAAGATAAAAAAATGTCCCACATTAATACATATATTTTCAATGTTACAGCTTGGATTACGCATTATTTTTAATGTATGGGAAAACGTTTTATCTCAGGTAGTAACTATTGTATAACATATAATACTACCATGTATGTGCGTCTATAGGAACAACAAAAAAAGGGGATATTCGTTGTGAAAGATAGACCATGTCTGGGGCAGCGGTGAGCATTTGTAATTGTGTCGTTCGCGTTGCTTTCCAAAATTTCCTATACCGTTATGAAATAGTTTCGACGTTTCAAACAGGGGACAGTGCGCCCAATGCGTATGTTTAGTCACAAAAACAGTTACAACAGTCTTTTTTATAAGTTTTAGGAAGCGTCCGGTGTCCAATAGGAGAATTTGTTTCTTTTAGTAATTCTCAAGCAGAGATATTTTTCTATTGGAAATATATTGCGAAATTCGTCGAAAAAAAGTGTTGCAACCTTTTTGTGACTGACCATATCAGATACCTAAGTTGTATCCCTCATCATTTTTTCTCTAATTATTGAATATAAGCCCGATCTGATGGTAAATATATAAAGTAATTGAGCGATGGAAAACGTAACCAGAACCTTAACGATTTACATTGTGTTTTCTGTGTAATATAAACATTTAAATGATGCCTTACGTAGTACGACTTTGGCAACTCTCCTCTATATCCTAGCTAGACAAGACATACTATGATACTTTCTCGGTTCACGAATATTTACATTTCCGAGAAAAACTCCTGCGTGCACGGTTTTATGGGGTTTGACAACGCTCTCGTGCCGCACCGCGTCGCGCCGAAATTCGACGTTCAATTAAAGAGCAACGTAGTTTCTTATTTACCGAGCATTCGTTGCTCTATACGCGTGCAAGAGAGAGAAAGAGACCGTTGAAAAGATAGACAGAGAGAGAGAGAGAGAGAGAGAGAGACACAGAGAGATTAGAGCACAAGGTAACTGACAAACGTCCGCAGGTTTCAGCCTGTCGTGCGGCAATAATCCATATCGCGTTACCGTCCACAGTGACTTGAAATTATTATCGGAGAGGTATCGCCCGCGTGATACGCGATGCCGATGCGTCTCGGGCTACACCGGGACACGCGGGTATCTCGCGTCGAACTCATTGCTATTGTTAATCCCCGCCCGAGAACGTTTCCCCGTAATCCGCGCGCATGGACGGATATCGCGCTGCTGCGTTAATTTACGCGTCACGTAGATCCGACTCCTCTCGATCGAGAGAGAGAGAGAGAGAGAGAAAGAGATCGGCCGATAAGAAGTCCCCCGAGGGACCTCAACGTGAGAGGAGAACGCGCGATCGGATACGGTCGCCGACGAAACGGCTCCGATCTCGACCGGCCGCATTATCAGGAGCGCATTCCACCGCTCGGCGGTATTCGCGATGTCGCGAAATCTCGCCCTCTCTCTTTCACTTCCCCCTCTACGTATCTCTCTCTGTTTCTCTCGCTGTGTCCCTCCCGCGCACTCACCTCCTCGTGCCGATGACGACGTTGTTCGAGACGACGACGTTGCTGACAGCGCTGGCAGCCTCGTCGCTTTGGCCTTTCCTGAGGAAGAATCGCGCGAGGACCATCGCGCCGCGCGTAGCATATGGACGTGGCGAGGACACTGTACCCGGGCGCGACGAAACGAAGGTCGTCGCGACACACACCGCCGAGCGAATTTCGCGAGAACGCGAAAACCAGCGCGCGGAGAGAGAAAGAGAGAGAGAGAGACGCACACGCGCGACGACACGCACTCGACCGACTTGACGTGCGTAGACCGGCGTAGACGCGACTGAAGTTACCTCTACTCTCTTCGCCGTTTCTCCCACTCCCCCTCCCTTTCTCACATATTCTCTCTCTCTCTCTCTCTCTCTCTTATGCGCGCTTTGACGTGCGTTTCTCGCTTATCGTTTCGTACCCCGATAACGTCATTACGTTCGCGGCACGGCGACGAGCAGCATGCTGCCGATTTAGGTAGCTCGCTAATGTACGACGCAATGCGCGAGGTGCAATTTGAGTGTACAGTGCGATATTCGACGACGGCAGAGATCCGGTTCCTAGGGACTTCCTGTCTGTCAGGATATACGAAGTCGTCGTTTGCCGCGCGAAGAACACATTCGCGCTCTTATTGGATATCGCGAGGATATTCGATATGTCGAACGCTCGATACGTGATTCAATACGGCGGGCGTCGAAGTCGACGCGCGCAATTTCGAACTTGCGGAGCGCGGATGAGTTCGAGAGCCGAGCTGCTTTCAAATGAACGTGGGGATTCGACTGGACTTGCTCGTTCGCGGGAAATTCGTCCCAACGGATCGATAAATGCAGTTCTTATTCAAGGGAGGCCCTTGGCAGAATGGCTGACTTGTAATTTTAAAACGATATCTTATGCCCCAAATCTCTGTTGGTGCTCATAGGTAGTTCTTATATTTAAAAGTGTCTTAAGTTCGTAAGTTCATCTTCAGGCGCAGTGAAACTAATGTGAGATGATCCGTACCTGAAGATACATTTAAAATGATCTTAAATGTGTAAGATATGATTGTAAATGTCGGTTTTTTTTTAATTAAAGGACAAGGTGATATTATGGCTTGTAGGTATTATAATCTCCATTAATATATAATATATCCGTTAATAGATGACGAAATCTAGCGATTACTTATGGAATTATTTATTTAGTAGCATGCTGACACGCTAATGATGCTAATATATCAGTACACAATAACCGGTATTTGTCAGAATGTATTTTTACTTTCTAAAATTTCGAGACATTTCCAAGGTACATTTTAGCACTCAATTACACACATTTCCTCATTCCTCTCAAACTTGGGCGTATTATCATGCGAATATACGTACACTTGAATGTTTCGTTCGTTACTTAACATTTTATCCCACATTTTATTGTACATTTCGTGTTATGCAAAGTTAAACAATAGCATAGCATTTTGCTAAGTTGTCCCTCCCCCCCATACTGAAATTTAATATGGCCTCTTTTTCGAGATTTTTATATCCAAAAAATTATTCGATAAATTATTCAATTATTTGTTATATATTAATAATTCAAGTTAAGTTTAAAAGTTTATTCGTTTTGTAGAAATTGTTCTTGACAGTTTATATCTACTTTCTGATAAGTCAATATCTACATTAAAAATTTACGGTTATATTTATTGTTGTACAATTGTTATACAGTTTCCAGTACAGTTATTTTTTTATAATTAAAATTCTAAGTAGTAAATATTTCATATTTTTGAGTCTAGAATTGTCTCGATTGTGTATAACATTTTGACGAATATAATCGTTAAGTTTTCATTTTAAAGTACTGATTATTAAAAAAGTTATTATATAAAATGTAAATGGAGGGCCATAATACTACCTCCTCTTTCATCATTTTTTTTACTTATTTTCTTTATTACATAGCGATTTGTCATCAATCATAAGTGAAGCAGTTTTTTAGTTTAAAACTCCGGAGACACAAAACAATTATGCGTTATTTAAAATAAATTGAAATTTGAGGCATAAAACGTTGTCTCGAACCGGTAAGTCAGCCACTTTAAGACCCGAAGAACCTACCTGCTGAATATACCTGCTGTATAATAGCGATCCGTAATCTGTGAGTCAAAGGGAAAACTACCTGTTCGTAAAGATGTGAACCTCCGGATGAGGGGCGGACAAGACCATTCAGCATGATTCAATATACGGCATGATTGAATATATCAATATCGACGTCGATACCGACGTGACGCAACTTCGAACTTGCATAAGCGCGATGCGCTATAATGTTGCCTTCAAATGAACGTGGAAATTCAACCGAGCTTGTTCCGTTGTTCTAGAAACTCGTCCCAACGAGCGACCGACGCAGTTTTTTCTTTTTACTTAACCTTCTTTTAAGCACAATATCCGATAGAGATCATCCCAACTAACATAATGGGAGAATTAGTGTATCCTGAGATTTTAACCATTTACAGGTGAAAGGTATTGCGACTGACGGACGGTTTAGGAAAAGCTTATTGTAGCCCCAGCGACCTGCAATCCGTGAATAAAAGGGAAAACTACCTGTTCGTAAAGATGTGAGCCTCCGGATGAGGGGACGACAGGACCACTTGGCTCACGTCGGCGGACGTTCCCGTCTCCTCGTTGTCCAGGTAATACATTTCGGGTTGGGTCAGTGTCTCGGTTTCAGCAGGGGTACGCATTCTCGCTTACGTGCGATGTCGTTAGGCCTGAAACGCAAAAGAGTTTTGCTCGTTTTTAAATCTTTTCTTTTAAATATTTTCTTTTAAATATTTTCTTTTAGCACAGTTTTAGCCGCCTTATCTTATCACAATGCGGAAGAACACTGTCATCGTGTCTCGTATATTAGGCGTATATTAAGAGCTCGCGCAACATCCGCCGCAAGATTTGTGTACCTGCACGTTACTCTGCGCGCGTTACCGTCGTGCACACAGGAATGGACGGAAACAAAAAAAGAAGACAAGATCAGCTTTGGCATAATATCGGGGGAGAGGGAGAGGGAGGGGGTGGAGCGGGTTCAATGGAATGCCGATCTAGTAAGAGGTGTGGTATTTGATCGTCGCATACCAAAGCTTGTAACGCTCGTTTTATCCCGCACGTGGATTCCTCGGCGGAGCTGCTCCCCGACCCTGTTATTTACGCATTTTTCGTGGCAATTAAGAGAGCTATTGAAACGATGGGGACTCGCACGATGGTATCGAGACTACCCAAGCACGCCCGGGGAGGCAGATCGCGACGCAACGCGCGAAATCACCGAGGAGTTTTCTTCGGATTGCACTGGCACTTCTTCTCGAGGAAAATTTCCCTCGCTTCTAAGACCACAAATTTTCTTTTTGTCTGGGTTGATGTAAAAATTCATCCCGGTTTTTAATTAAAATATATGCGGTCACAAAAGCTCATATTCTGAAATCATTTTTATCGATAAAAGTGCCTTAAATGTGGCTTTTCGGCCAATCAGATGGTTTCTAAGCCACTCTTAGAGGCACTTATGTCGATAAAGGTGAGTTAAGAATATGGAGCAAAAAAGTTGCAGCACTTTTCTTTTCGATAAGTTTTCATGAGAATTACTAAAAAAACAAATTCTCCCACCAGACACGGGATATGTCTTGAAACTGATCACAATAAAGTGTTACATCCTTTTTGTGACACTATACATATAATATTTATTTATTTTGAAATACAATCAATTTTAAATATGCGCCGTTTTGTTCGATGACACGTCATTTCTTTAGTAGCTGCATGCGATTCCGCGCCCGTAGAAATTCTGGAATTTCTGAGCGAAGACCTGGGCCCTTATTCTCAAAAATATGTGAAAAATATCGCGTACGATATTTCACGAATGTCACATTTCACGACAAATTTATATTCTCGAATAACTTGTACGAAGTGAATATCGCATATTTGTTATCGAATAAGGTCAGATCACGCGAAAAGAAACATCGTAGGCGAAGTCTGCATTCGACATTCATGAAATATCGTGTGCGATATTTCGCATATTTTCGAGAATAAGGGCCCTGATTAGAAAGTTCGGAACGAACTTTCGCATCAACTCAATATAATTATATAATTATATTGAATTATGTAATAGATAAATTGTAAGAGAAAATGATTGTAAAAGTTATACAACATATTTGCGAATATTATTTTCAATATTGACGCTGTTGGAAGTAGCGCGTGAGACTTTCTTCTTGCATCATCGACAGGTTGCCTTAATCTTAAAGCAAATATTTGAAGATGAATCCTGATAAATCACAATATTGCTGACGATAGTGATTGTATGTATTTGTTTAGGCGTGCATAATAGTCCCGATACTCAGTGACCGATTTTCTACCATGTGCTTTTCGCGTCTGAATATCGCGTAGTATAGTTGAATATCGTAGTAACTTCAATAATGTAAATGTTAAGGCACTTATAGGGCGATCTGTGTGAATACACTTGGCACAAGGCGTGCCACAACACTCAGCGGTGATACCGAGTAGATACTCCAAATATGCGTGTTAATTTCCCGCGTTGAAGCACTCTTGGCACTGAACACACGTTATATTTGAGTACTTATCTCGGGTGGAATGTTCTTTTTAAGCTCGAGACAAGCTACGACCGGCGCGAGAGACAAAGACTTCACGTCTGACATTGAACACGTTGAACGTCAAATTACGTTTTGAAATTATAATTGAAAATCTTTCTCCACAATTATATCTAATTATCTGCTTCAATTACAATTAAAGGTAATGGAATTTAAACTTTAATTGCAATTAAAGATAATTAAATTTAAACCTTGACTGTGATTAAGGGTCTGATAATCTCTATACTATCTTTCGGCAGATTGGAGATACGTAGTCGTCGATATAAAAGTCGCGACGAGAACGCAGGGTGAGTTGTGCGTAACGTTCGCCCTCCGCGCGTCCCTTACACGAAGGGCGAAAGAAACCAGGAACTTCTCCACAATGAGTCACACGTAGGTGTGCCCCCGATTAATTCTGCACACCTGGATCGAAGTCTTGGTGAGTTCCAGGTTCCAGGTTACTCGACGAACCGGTCGACCCCAGTGAATCCGCGTGCCTGGCACGCACAAGTGAATACACGTTTCTAATATCACTCCGAGAAGGCAGTTTTTCTTATCATCACTCGTCTGATTTATATCGACTGGCTCTCTCGCCTCATATCTATTCTTGACATATAAAATTTCGACGGAAATCTCAATTATCGATAATAAATACGACAACGATTTATATGAATATGGTTTGTCTCTAAAACGGGCAATATCTAAATCGTAAAATAATTTTTATATCACTTATGTGGATAACATTTTTTTTATAGAAAAGAAAATATATGGCATGTGTCCAGTTGATATCTTCTCAGAATCAAACTGTAGATGTGTGTGTAGAAATATCTCGTGAAAGATTCGTGAAGTTTCCGAATGGCGAGGGAGAATTTGGAGCTGCGCAAAGGGCGACGCGCCGCTATTCCAAAAGAGTGAGCACAGCCCGGGCGATTCCGAAGGGTTGCCAATTTCATCCTAGGAGCATGAATTTTAACGAGAGGGTTGTATACCCTCCGTTCTAATTCTATGCACCCTGTGCACGTATATTGCGACTTCGATCAGATAGAACTCGCACGCGGCCATCTGACAGAAATAGCAGCGAATAGAATAGTGGCATCGCATATGTCGGTGCCGTTACTCACGACTTACATATAATGCACATTGTATCTTGGGTACTTTCTAAAAAAAAAATACGCAACGAAGGTCGGGTTTCGCGCGAGGAGCGCTATAAATTATCAAGATATTGCAAAACGACGAAATAATAGCGCAAGCACTTGTAACGATTATAGTGACATAATTAAGATCATTGCTCTGTGACAATACTGTTGGAAAAGTAATATAACACGAAGAAGCTCGATAAATCTGTATTTAATATTTATAAACATAATTTGTGATATAGCATATATCTTTGACACTATAGCAAGGGAATATCGATCAAACATATACGTAATGTGCGAAAATTCATAAAGAAATAATCTCGTTTCTTGTGCTTTGACGTGTAATACTTTTGGCTAAGACTATCTGAGTTAGGTTTGTTTGTGAATATATCGCATGTATCGATAGACGCACACGAATGTGCGAACATACGCTACTATAGAAATAATCGTAACGTCGGGTTTTCCCATATATTTTGTATTCTTCGCATTTCCACGTATTGATCATAAATCTTTAAGGTTACTTAATCATTTTATCTTTAAAAAGATACCTAGTCAAAAATCCTAAAAGAAAATATAAAGTATACAATATCACCAAGTCTTTACAAGTTAGCTGTTATACGCTTCAACTATTAATCAGATATCGTGTACTTTACATATCAATTTCTGGAAAACTAGACGGTCAAAGATCTTGTCATTTTTTTAATAATATCTCTGAAGTCTCTTTTATCGTCTTCTCGTTTTTTACTAAAACCGTAAAAGCTATTCGATTGCTAGAATCAAAAACACAATATCGGAAGTAATTTTCGTATTTGTGATACATCCAAGATAACATTAAGATGCCGTAAAGATGTCTTTTAGATGATAAAACGTAATGCTAATTTAATTTCAATTGTCTCAGCTTCGGTATGGTCAATCTTTCTATAATTTTGTGTAGATTATGTTTCGATTAATATATTGTCGAAATTTTTAGAAATTTGGATTCCTAAGAAAATTAATTCACGGACCAACTACGAACCTCATGTGGACCTCTCCAAATTTTTTTATCCTACAATCTACTCCGGTCTATCGCACAGATATTACCACCTTTTACGAGTAACAACGCGACGTGAGAAGCACCGCCGGGAAGCATTGGTGCAGAGAACAACACGTCCGTCCGTCCGTCCGAGGGATCGCGTGTTCGAGTTGACTCGCACGCACAAAGGCAAACCTGCTCTCTAGGGTCGCTGAACAAGCACTGTCCCTCGGGGATTAAGATGGACGACGAGGGTGGAGAAGATGAAAATCCATTTCCAGTTCGTCGTTAAAAAGGTGCGACGCAGCGAGCTCAAACGTGCCACTCACCGAACGCCGTTTACGCGTTACGCCGTGCGAATTGTTCGCAACTCTTTGTATCTCCGCGTATATAACCACGATATTTTTCACTCAGCCTTTTCAACAAACTGCCTTGCAACTTGGTTCCTTACATTCGGCTTCCTTACATTCGGCTCGCAAACGTACAACAGTGCAAAACGGTTTGGGCGCATCTGAGTTCAGGTGCGCAGCCGATGGTCCAATGAGAGAATTTATTTTCGACTGATTCGTTCTCTCATTGGGCCATCGACTGCGCTTTGAACTTCTTGCTTAGCTAGCTGCGTCCAAACCATTTTGCTTCCCATTGTATCCCACTGGGTCCCAAAACGGTTTGAATACATTCTTCCTTGAAATGCAGTTAGAAACGTAACCGACGGTCCAATGAAAGGACTTATTTTTCAAAAACGAGTTATCTTATCGGAAACCGTCGTTGCGTTCCGAATTGCATCGAAAACAGTGTTCAAACCTTGGTTCTGAAACTCGGTGTACATTAATTACAGCACGCGTATCGGCCGTTTTCTTTTCATGAGTGTATATGTTAGTCGGTACTTTCTAAAACGCTATTTTCATTCAAAGTTTTGCACCTTGTTTTCACAGATTAATACTTAAATATAATTATCCCACTTAAGCTGGATTTCCAAAATCTTCTTTCCACAATTTTTCGCTTATATACGAAGTGTTAAACAAAAAAATCCTGTACTTATTTTGCAAATAACATATAAATGTTTGAGTAATTAATTAAAGAAGCCTCTATGCATAGCCACTTTTAATAATTAATCATTTGAAATTTTACGTAGTTGATTCCAAAACAACTGGAGAACTTTTTTTATTCACATTGACCCGTAAGTATGTAACGAATGGCACGGTTTGCGTCAGACATCCTGTACGTGGTTAGTTATAGATGCGTTAGTCCCGGTCTACGATAGATGTTTTAAGCTCTAAGCCTTAAAAAATTGACCAATCACAGTCGAATTACAGAGGAAAAAAATTATGATTGGTCAATTTCTTAAATCTTACGCCTTAAATTCTCATTGTATTTACAGAGAAACCTCTGAACACAAAACGCTGCCTCGCTCTCGACAGATAGCAGAATACGATACGGTCGGTCGGCGGAAAGAGTCAGGAATACACCCGAGCGTATGCCGCGAAGATAGTATCTTCGGTGTGTGTTCGCCTCCTGTGTAATATCGATCGGGCAAAGTTGCCGGGTATGAATGAAGCGGAGCCCTCGGAGCCTCGTAAATAAACACATGAGTCGCACACGACCGATTCTTTAAAGGATAGTTCGCGCACGCTTCTTCTCTGTCGCGTTCATCCTAGCATTGAAATCACCGGCCGATAATGTCAGTGATCGCGACGCTGCCAGCGATGCCCTGCCCGCCTTTAATGAGCCGATTTCATTTCACCCAAGGAACGGCCCTAGGTAATGTCGAGCTCTCGTCGGCTACACTCGTCGCCGGGACTCGGCGTCTTTCACCGTTCCGTTTCAGGACTCTCGACCAATTTCCATGCGCGACAACTGTGTGAGCTGCATTCGAAGAGTAGCCGTCCACACGTAGAACTTTAATCGTGCTTAGATTTATCAAGTGAATATTCCTCTTCCAAGTGAGAATCACACAGAGAGCCGAACGTATCGATCCGACGAGATCAGAAACCAGATTTCGGCGTCATTGGCAGTTTAACGGTTTGAGATAAATCGAAGACTCTCGTTAACTTAATTGGATAATTTCTCCCGACGAAACGATTCGTACTTTGTCTCTCCTCGGTTTAACGCAGAAAGTCAATATACACGGTGTGCCGATTGTTCCGTTTTACGGATATTTTGTGATATGCACGCGTGTGTAGACGCTTCTTCTAAATTATACTAACTATTGTACATACGTGATGCTGTGGGAGGCCGGTCGTTCACATTCAACAATGGCTGCTTTAATTGCCGAGACGCGCGGGCTAGATTAATCCTGAGGTGCTTCTTCCGCCGTGTCAAACCGTGATTCTCAACGCGCAAGAATAATTAGCGATTTAATGTTATCGTTGAGTTTAACGCTATCAGTGCCCCATCGAGAACTCGTACTGGCATTAAATACAACGGGCGACCGTTCTCACAATTTTCCTCAATTACGACGTACCAAATTTTTTCGTTCCCTCCCCGACTCGTCCGTTACGAACTTGAACTTCTCTAAGCGCTCCCGTGCTCGTCTATTATCGTCACCGTATAGCGAGTTTAGGAACTTCTAAACCTGCTGAAAAGTTTCGGGTCCTTGGGCACAACCGGTACGATGTGTTTTTGTGCGCGACTCTGAATCCCTTCCTACTCTGTGCAATTTGTATTAATTGTGTCTACATTATAGCTTCCAGCGTAGAAACGAAAGGTTGAAGTAGCACATAATCTCTCCGGAATTCGACATTCGTTGCATTCGAATCTCGTAGGAGCGTATGTTATCGTAGCAGCGGTGAAAGGGCTAAATCGACGTATCAAACTTGATCCGAATCACACGAAGGAACAAAGAAAGCAGACGGAGGGACAAAGGGCCGCAAGAATTGAGAGAAAAATAGGAATGGTAATTATTAATAGAAGGCTCGGTTGTATCAAACTTCAATTGGGCTAAGCGACGATTCATTTGCAGGGTCACCAACCCTGAAATTTCGGTTGCAGAATAAATCGAAGAAGAGAAGAAGTTCGAAATTTCAGTCGCAACCCTGTAAGTTAATCGTCGCTTAATTTAACCGGAGTTTCGTAACAACCGGGAGTCTGAGTCTTCTCAACTAAAACTTAATTAACGTAGCGATCGGGAATGGACAGAGTGAACTCTCATAAGGATCTTTCTTACACACATTTTTGAAAATCTGATTTCACATCTCAAAAGGTCAATTTGGTCTCTGCTCATCTCACGCGTTTCACGCGACTTTCTTCGCGAATCGACACGACAGGTCGAACAGACGGACACCGATAACAACGTCGACGACAGACATCGAGGCGTCGCGTCTCCTCACACCGCGACGTGACGCGACGTTGCGTCTGTCTGTTCCGGCTGCACTCTCTGCACCTTGCAAACGGCACGCACGAGTTGACATAAAAGCGTAAGTATGATATAAACTCACGACTCAACAATAAGACGCTCGGCGTATCAGGGGGAATTTGCGCCGAGCGTTTCGATACTTGAAGGTTTCTTCGAGGAAAAAAAGAAAAAAAAAACGAAAAAAAAAGAGAAAGACACAATTCGCGTGCAACGTCGTCGAATACGCGGCGTGTGCGCGGCGAAATCGCAGCGAAATTGTCCCTCTTATCTCTCATCCTGGGCGCGATCGCGGATCTGTTTCGCCCCGAAAAGCGGAACCGTGATCCTCGCGTGGTGCGACAGGATCTGCGCTCGAGGCGAAGCGCGATCGGCGCCGAGCTTTCACTTTCCTCGGGCTCGTTTTGCACCAGCGAGCGGTGCTCACCGTCGATCTGCCGATCCGCTCGCACGTACGTTGTCACCGTCGTTACACGGGAATAACATTCGGCAGAGCGTGAAGCCCTCCTCGCTCGCTCGAGACAGAGGAAGATAGATAGATAGAGAGAGAGAGAAAGAGAGAAAGATAGGGGTGAGCGCGCGCTCTCGTCCGATCGCGAGAGGAGCCGACGAGGACGGACGAGGAAGAGAGACGCGCGCGCTTTATCGATCAGAGAGGAGTCGCGCGCGCCTGGCTACCCTGCTCGCGCTTCGGTGCTCACCTGCACGTAGCACGCTGTTCTCCGGCGACGACGACGGGGTCGGCTGGCCCAGGAGAAGACGAGAAGAAGACGTCCGCGGGACAATCGCCGCCATTCACCTCTCAGTGCCGTGTCCTTTTTCCCTTTTGTCACGTTCGAGCAGCGTCCTCACAACGCTACATTTGCCGCCGCTCGCCCACGTCCGGGGAGACGTCCTCCCTCGCGCGATACGTCGCCGCAGGCACGACCGGAGCCACGGGATACATATTACACCGGCCCCTGAACGTTCGCTCGCTCTTCTACGCGTGCACGCACCCACGCACCCAGTCGTACGTCGTACGAGCGCGCGTATAGTACCGCCGCACCGTCGACGCACCGCACGCACGCACCGTTCCAATTAATTCCGCTCGCTCGCTCGCGCAGCGCGACGCAACCCCGCAGGACACCCCGACGCGCGACGCGTTCGACGAACACTGGACAAAATGGCGCGCGTCGTTGCCCCGCGACTCCGACGCCACTCCGTCCCCCGCACCCCCTCCCCCCTACCCACGACTGACTCCGTGTCGTGTCGCGTCGCTAGGCGCTCTCCGGCGGCTCTCTGGGTTGTTTGCGCGGGTGCGAGACGCTGTGGTCGTGGATCGACGACGGATCCGGCGCGCCGCCGCTGCTGCTGCCTGCCGACGTCACGCTGCGACGAGGTGCGCGGCGGGGAAGGGAGAACGAACAGGTTCCTCTCTACGTCTCGAAACCACGCCTCTCCGCCTAGGTATTCGAGCCCGGGAGGGGGGAGGAAGAGAGAGAGAGAGAGACGTTTTACGGGCACCTTTTTCTTCTTTGCTTCTCCCCCATTCCTCCCCTCTCTCTTTCTTTCTTGCGCGAGCGAGCGAGCGCGCGACGACGTAGTGCGGAAGTGAGACGCTTCTTCTTTTTTCGAATCTCGCTTTGAAAAGGATGTACTGTATAGAATCTACTGTAGGATGCCGCTTCGATGGTTTTCTCGGCGTTTCGGTGTAATTGCGCCGAACGTTTTTCCACGTTCACGTCCGCTGAGAATTGGTAGAATCAAGGTAGCGGACCTAAAGTTGCGTCGCAGTTGTATCAGAAAGTGTATCAGACACGATGGCCCGTATTCTGACCTCTCTTTCTTACCAATAAAAGCGCCTCTCTAAAGGTGGCTTGAAAATCACCTAACTGGCTGAGAAAACCGGCCATTTTTACCGGTAAAAGAAAGTTCAAAACACGGGGTAATATACGGAGAAAAATTGAACGGATATCATAAGCAAGATAGAAAGCAAATTCTACCTTTGGTATGATCCTCCTTTGACACTGTTTTAAAGTGAGAAAAGTGTCGAGTATAAAAGATGCGCTGGCGAAGCGTGTGAGCGATCTCTCCACGTAGAACCTACGAGTGAAAGATACATTATCATTTCAAAACGAATATACCAAAGGTCGATTTCTTTCACGTTAACGTAGATTTAGATTTTTATGTTAACGTAGATTTCATCTTATGTCAACATTATGTTAACGCAGATTAGATCTTTCAGTTGTCGATGTGTGATCACGCATCGCCGTTCGGATTTTACCACTGCATTACAGGTGCGCCTGTTAGAGTACTACGAGATGACGCAACCGCGAATACCTCGGGACGTCAGTGAGCCGCCCGGAGTCAGCCCATTCGACGGAGATACGCCGTCGCTCGATCGTTTCTTGGACCTTTTTCGAGTTGGCGCGAGAGGAGGGTCGCGAGATGACGAGGCGCGATTCCTAGAAGCATTTCCCTCTTTTCCGAGAAACCGAAGGGCCGGGTCTTTGATTCTCTGCATCCACCTCCGCGAGAAAGAGGGAGGGAGGGGGAAGAAAAGAAGAGACGTCAGCACATTGCGCAGAAGCGTGCCGACGTGTGATCGTCGAGTAATCAAGCACACGGTGCATCGACTCGAAGCGTATCCCGCTTTTCCCTCCCGATCGAGCGGTAAACACAGTCGCGCTCGTCCCGTCGCTCCCCCTCCCCTCCTCTGTCTTTTTTCCTCTCACCTACCTCCTTCCCCACGAGACTCTCTTTCATGCCGTGTTCGTCGTAGCCGCAGCTTGGTCGATTCCTGAATGACGTCACGACCACCCCTCTTCATCTCGTAGTAACCGTGACCGTGATACTCGTGTCACTCTCGCGTAAGCGCCCACGCGCTGCACGAAAAAGCGTAGGAGCGATGTCGAGGAGGGGAGGGGGGGAATTGCCTCGGAAATAAATCTGCATACCTGACGAACAAAAGGATGTGAATTTAGAAACTTTAACTGTTTCTTTCTTCCTTTCAGAAGAAGCTCGCGGGGATATCTCTTGTGAATGCGAACTTTCCGGATGAATTAAGCAGGTACAGACTGTAGTTACGGATTAATTCAGTCAAATTGATATTTATATCTGAAATAATATGCATGCGGCATCTATTTAAACGATATTTAAAAATTGTAGAAGGAGCAATATCCTGGCAAGTCATTATTTACTTCGCGTCTTCAAATAATCGTGCCCGGAGCATACAGCTTCATATTTGAGATCAATTTATCTAATTCTGTGATATATGTATGGTTTTCGTTTCTTTCTGTGAAAATAGCGCAAGCGTGTCAAGATTGATAATCTGATACTCACCGTAGTCTTTCTGCTTTTCCCAGGTACATATATTGACACTTGCGATTAAAATATTCTTGTTGAATGCACAAAACTAAAATACACGTAGAGAAAACTAATTTCCACTTCGGCTCTTCAAGCTCTTGTACTCCCGCACGACATTCTCGACTTTCGCGAAAGCTCGCAGAAAGTCATCATCCTCCCAGCCAAACTGTTTGTACTGATGCAAGAAAGCTGCGCACTTGTAGGAATTCCAGGCTTTATCCAGGTAAACGTCCAACGGCTGGTGTATCGCCGAATTGTTTGTGACTAAGGTCAGAAATTTGCTTCGACTCAAGATCCTACGTTCCTGGTGTAAGTGAGTAAATGGATCTAACGTAACCCAGTCTGAATACAGATGCTTCTTCTGCAGACCTCCTGTCATCACAACATCATCTTCCATAGACTTGCCACGTGTCACAAGAAGGTTGGACACACAGGGACTATACGTGTGAGACAGGTTTTTTCTCAGCGAAGCGATCGGTTTCTTCAGTCGGATGTTTGCCAGCTCTGCATGAGACTTCGACACTCGAAGAGCATGCTCCAAGTGACGTACATACACATCCCACTTGTACGTGGGTTCGTACTGTAGAGATGCTACAGGAATGTACGGTGTGCTCTTGATTGTCGCAAGTTTAAAATTAGGATGTGTCGCTACATCGGATGCTAAGGAATTCGCGTTGCACCTGGCATCGTCGGTAGGTTGGAAGACAGCAAGCAGGTTCTCAGCAATAACGTCATTCATGTCGTGCAACGCTGTGTTAGAATTTTGCAACAAGTTGACGCACGTAGCATGTACCTTCTCATTCTCGAATAGTATCGAGAGATCAGCCTTGTCACAGAACTTCGCCAAAGTCAGTATCGTGTTGTAATTTTGGACACACACTTCTCCGAAGGTGAATGGCAGTACAATCGTGGCGACAATGGTCTTGGTCGCATACTCCTCACGTAGAAGCTCAATCATACGGCTCCCAACACCAGATCCTGTGCCACCAGCTGAGCTGAGAAGCAGAAGAAATCCTTGGACACGGTCTAATTTTTCAATCTGTTGTCGTGTAGCGTTCAGAATGGCATTTGACAACTGTTCGCTGTTTATACAATAGCCGTAGGCCCAATTGTTGGCGGAACCACCATTGTCACCGCACTTGCAGATGATGTTACTTGATCGATAAAGCCACGAGGCAGTCGTTTCTTTGCGTATCTTGTTCACAACCTTCTCCTCGGTATCGACGAGAATTGCTCTCGCGAAACACCGGTCGTCTTCGGCGATCCCGTCGAACCACTTCTCGATTGTGTTCTCCGCATACTCGTAATTGACGCCATAGGACACGCCGGTATTCGGGCTTCTCAGGTCGGCGGACACCTTCGAGAGTAAGTTATATCCGAGCTGATTTCCGCATTGCCCGAACTGTATCGTGAGCATCCTTCGGTCTCATCGACTCGACGGGTCCTGCGACTGAGTCCTGGAACAGAATTCAGAGGCCTGATCGAGAATTTACTGTTTGTTGAGTGTATCCGAGATACTTCGAAACAATTTTGAACGGTTTAGGACGTACCTGGAGCTGTGACGACACGTTGTGATTCACAGTTGGAAGAAACGTTGAAATGACGTTGAACAGCAAACGATCGATTTCAAATTCCCGACATCATTACTTCCCGCCAAAACAACATACCGGCGAGTGCATTTGGTATATCCAGGAGCTACACTTGGTTTTTGCATCTGATTGGCATATTCCTCAAAATATACTCCAATCAGATGCAAGAGCTCGCTGAGCGCTCAGAGAGCGATTGGCTGCGTTCAGAAAACACAAATGGTACTTTCCATTTGATAAGACAAATCGACAGAAACATCATTTTATCTTTGTTTCACATTCAATGAATAATAAAGATAAGATGGTGCTTGTGCCGACTTGTGTCACTAAATGGAAAGCACCGAAAGTGATCAGTGAACGGTCAGTGATTATTGGTCTTTACTGTCAGATCCCTAAATTTAGAGCAATTATGTTGACGAATTATTCAACCGTTGTACAACTGTTGTGTTTTTTGAACGCAATCATTGTAGCTTTTGGACTAATTTAGTACTACAATCATTTACCGGAAGTCCGATGAGCTCTTGCATTTAATTAATATCTTTTTTTAGATTTAAAAATATGCATCGATCAATCAGTGGACGATAGTACCAAATGCACTAAATGCACTAATGTGTCCTTTTTAGCTGCATTTTATTGCTTTCTTCGCGTTTAAAATGCTTTAAAAAGCCCGTATCAAACTACGAATTAGAATTGAGATTGAATTGAAATTTAACCAATCAGAGCAAAATTCGTTAACTTGAGTTTAGCAAATTTTGTTCTGATTGGTCAAATTTCAATCCAATCTCAATCCTAATCTGTAGTCTACTAGGGGCTTAATTCGTACTTGGATACAGACTTTAGAATTGTAATGTGGACGAGCCATTATATTTAAATAATCCCATACCTCAAACGAGGTTAAGAAAAAACCGCATTGTATATCATATTGTTATTATTTATCTACAGAATGTCTATGGTTGTTAAAAAATCAGATTGAATATCTCTTCCATTTTCGCGCAATGGAGAGATATACACGACGGTGGGATGAAAAACTAAATCGTGATAAATATTTGGACGATTTGTTATCACTTGCCAGTCACTAATTCGCGGTGCACAGCAGAATGAGTGTTCGTACGAAAAAAATATTCCTCTGCGTGTTCCTGACGATTTTGGGTGTTGTCTATTTATGCACAAACCGGAGCACGAATGACAAAGATGTGTCCCTGAAGCAGCTCTTAGCCGCCGCGATAAGGGCGGCAGAACTCGGAGGATTCGAAGTGGTGGCGGTGCACGATCAAATTAAATTCAAAGTCGAGAGTAAAGGTCAAACGAAGGAAGGTAATAAAAATACGCCATATTGAAGTATGTATGTTGCAAATAATTATTACATGAATATTGTATCTTTATTATTTATATATTTTCCCATAATATCTACATTGTTACTCTTAAGCACTATATTCCTTTGTGTAAAATAAAATAATAATGTACCTTCTCGTCTCATTTCCTCGAAGGAGTAAATGATCCAGTAACAGCAGCTGACTATAAATCACACTGTGCCATGTATCGTTCATTAACAGAAGCATTCCCAGGAATTACTGTGATATCTGAGGAAACTTCGCAAGATTGTGATAAGGTTGCAATAGAAGATATTAAGAATTCCGCTAAAAGTATCGATGGTTATGATATGAGCGATGATATTGTAAATACCAAGGATATTACTATCTGGATAGATCCTCTTGATGCTACCAAAGAATTTACAGGTAATATATATGTCTATACTATAATCAATCATCATATTTCAGTATGCTTAATAAACTTGCTTCATAAGTAATTTATGATAGAAAAAAATATATTACTAGTAACTAATATTATACATAATTCTTTCACATAAACAATTAGAAACATACTTTCAGATTATCTACAACTTAAGTGTAGATATATAACTTGAGTATAATTATTTATACTTAAATATAAATATATAACTTGAATATAAATTTTACATAGGGAAGGTACTGTCAAGAAATTAAATTATAGAAAATAAATAAGAAGTTACTGTGTCTGTAACTGCGATTGTGAAACAATATTCCCATAATTACTTATGGCTCAAGATTGAAAACTTGATTGTTTTCAGGATCAAGTGATAAAGTAAATTTCCGGATGTGTAACAATACAGTGATCAATTTGCATCTGTTTTCCTTATTTTAGAGAACCTATTGCAATATGTAACTACTATGGTATGCATAGCTGTTAAAGGACAACCCATTATCGGTGTTATATACAAACCTTTTGAGACAAAGCAGAATTACAGTTTATTCTGGACATGGACTAATCACGGTGCATCAAAGAACTTGAAAAATTTGCCCAAGGTAATTGAAATAATAAATTGTTTTGAGATTCATTTTATCCGTCTAATTTTTCTTCCATTAGACAAGAGATAATAGGATACCTATCCTAATTGTATCCCGTTCACACGCTGGACAAGTCAATAACGTATCTAAAGTTGCTTTTGGTAATAATGTTGAAATTATATCCGCTGCTGGTGCAGGTGAGAAAATTTCTTTAATAGTAATTTTATTTTAATAATTTCAAAATAACATTTTACGTCTATTTTTATATTTTAAATTTCTTCCCGCTTTTGTGTGTTTCAAGAGCTTTCGGTGTTTTTATATATTCTCGGAGAGATTTTGTGGATATACACATATAAGGATGTTTTATTTTAGGATATAAATTCTTGGAAGTAGCTGTTGATAACGCGACAGCATACGTTCATACAACCGCTATTAAGAAATGGGACATATGTGCAGGCACTGCAATTCTTAGGTATCGTGCTTTTAGTGGGTTTCCTTAAGATATTAATTACATAATGTTTATTCCTTACTTATCTTTCTTTTATTTCTTGTTGTAGAGCTTTAGGGGGAACAGTAACACAGTTGTACGACCAACAACCAATTTACTTCGGAGCTAATGACCCTAAGGTACTTACAAAGGGTCTGCTGGCAACTATGAGTAATCATGCGTTGTATTCGGACAAATTTTTACACGAATTTCAATCCAACTTCCATTAGAATTTTTATCAGATATTAATTCATGTGAAATGAAAAAATCGTAAATAGAATATTTTTTTTATAACGTGATAAAAAAATACTACATATCTTCGTACAACCATCATTCAAAATTCTGAGAAATAGATTTCTCGTAATTGTGTAAAGCAGAGCTGTGTAACTTTCGACATAACGCGAGCGAATATCATGTAATAAGAATAATGTAATAAAAACACACGATGCGTGGATTAACTCTTTCGCTGCTGCTCACTCTAAGCAAAAGTGCTTGTCGTATACGACACGATATTCGATTAATTACACAACACCGAGGAGGAATAATATAATGAAGAAAATTCTAACCGAATTTTCAAACGACGTGCCGTGTAAATACAACGTCCGACGAGCGATTTTCTACGACGTATATACGTGTATACATGGCAATTAGGAAGCTACTTTTCGGCAGTGTGTATATATACGTCATACGAGCAGTGAAAGAGTTAATAGGAGAAATGTAATATGTAGTATGTATCACAAGTCAAGTTAGAGCTAAGTTTGGTTGTCACTCGCGAAGGCCTAGTTAGACAGCTTGGATTAATCATTTTTGTTCTTTATACAATAAACAATACAACAGCCATTCATATTTGTATGTAACCACCAATTTGTTTTACAAACAGCTCCGGACACAAGAAAAAACAAGAAATCTAGATATGAACATACAACATGTGTGCGATGAAAAGCGATGTTATATAAATTGATTTGTGCAATGATTGAGATCGTATTTTCCTCCTTCACACACATGTGTATGATATTTTCCTACTCCTTCGCATAAAGATCGCATGGTTTTATTAATTTCACTATATTTCCTGAGACAGCAATTTCAGGTATTTTTTGCAACTTCTTGAGGAATTTCGCAATAGCCTTATCACGGTCCAATGCCTTCACAGAGTGAAGTAAATATAGCGAAACAACCTTTTTTTGAAGCTTCTTCAAAGATATCTCACCTTTACTCTGAACAATCTCCAAAATTGCAAGCCTCCAATAAAATGAAACTTTACGTTCCTTATTTTTACAAATATTTGTTTCTACTAGAACGGACGTTTTCTTGGTTTTTGTAGCTGGTTGTAGTTCTTCTTGTTCTTCAACCGTTTCAGTCAATTGTCGTTTCTTAGACTTCTTTCTAGTAATGGTTTCAGTTTCTTCCGCAATGCCATTGGTTGGGCATTCCTTATCATTCCCATTTTGATGCCGTGCAGAATCGTGTTCTTTGCATATATTTTCATTGTTTTGATTGTCAACGATATTATCCTGGTGATTATTACTAAGCAAATTACTGGAATCCACATTTATATCAGTCTTGTTTGTTTGATCTGTTAAAAAACATATTAAATTTATACATAGTTTTATATATCATATATATTTTTTTTTATTTTTATATACTTCAATAAATTTATAATTTAAAAATTAATTACATTAAGATATTTGTTACTGAGAATTGGAAACAACAGTAAATAATTTATTACTTCATATTTTATTATTTATATTTATGTTATTTGTAAAATAACTGAAAACTCACGATTATCTGGCTCTTCGGGTTTTGTAGTCGTCTGTTGACTTTGTTTATGCGCAGTTTCCATCTTATTCCAGACACTTTCCACAACTGATATATTTATACGATTGCCTACTGCGTTTTTCACAAAGTTGAGAAATTTAGCTTTTCTTCTTGGTATATTTTCAAATCTTGATAAAGTATTGAGGAAATTTCTCTCCACATTAGACAAATGTATCGTTCCACTCAATAAATTGTTAACAACACTGATCCATTCCTGTTGCTTACGTTCGCCTTTATTTGCACTAGCCTTTGGAACATAATCCTTCCCACCATAGCGTTCAGCTTCGGTTATGCATTTAGTATGAACTATATACTCATTTCCTCTAAAAATAATCGTAGATATTAAAATCATGTATATAATTACGTTTAAAATACAGATTAAACCCGTTATAACCCGTAAAATCTAAATTTGATAAATCTTTGTCTACCAAGTATTGTCTTGGAAATACTTAAATTGGTAATTTGCCTAATAATATATCTTGTATAATTTAGTAGTTAACGCGGTAATTAGTAACATTTATCATTCATAATGTACCTTATCAACACTTACTGGAAATCCTCCAAACAATCTGTGCACGTGACGAACACTGGTTTACGGCATCTAAATTCATAATGTTTCGCCACTTTAGGCTTCTGCAGCGTATCGCCACAATGAAAACAAGTAAAAACGACCATTCTGAGATGTATTTTATACAATTAAATTATAATTCTGATGAAAATATAACTGCATGTGTTGTTAGGGATGGGCGATAATCCTCGTACGCAATATGCTTCGCCTACCTCTTTTCTTCATAGGTCTGTTCTTTATAGTTGCACTTTTTCAACTAGTGGTCTGTTCTTTTTAGCTGAACTATTGTTGTACTAATTCAAAAAATCTACATACCCATGAAGTGTATAAAACGTATGTACATGTGAGATTCTCACGTTCAGTGTGCGTAAATTTTTAAATTGGTGCAGCCAATTCAGCTAAAAAGAACAGACCGTATCTTGTAATGTAGGATTCACATTGCATCTGATATCCAACGTAACGTAATATGGATATAAGGGCTTGAGAAAAATGTTGGAAATATGTCTTTAACCCGGCTTTTGGAGTCATCTGATGAAAGAAAGAAGGAATGTGTTAAACACTGTGCGGCATGAATGAATAGGTAAATAACGTAAACATAAGTAATGTAGTAAAACTTATGATTATTTATGTTATACTTTTAGGTCGTTAAAATTCTTTCTAATAATCCTTAGAGAAATGCATAGAAAAAACTGATGGACAGAGTGCAGCTTATCTGTATTATTATAGAACCTTATGCCTTTGGCGAAAAAAATTATCATATCAAATGATAATTAAAAGTAACATTTGGTCATCATACGTGTTTGTGAAGTTTTAAGTATTTTACTAAAAAATAAGATGTTTTTGAAGTCCCTGATACGTCCGTTATGCATGAAAAGATGCATTAAACTTCGGACTCACTATCGCTGTTTTCATAAGATTGACAGTAATGTAACAAATGATTTGGTATCTGGAGTTTCAATATCTCAGGTAAAACAAATTCTAAAGCAGAGACAGATCACCAGTATTGAAGGACACACATGTATAGTTATAGACTGTCCTATGTGTGATATAGAAAAATCCAAAAGAGCAAAGATTTATATAAATAAGACAACAGGTAACATACATACTATGTAACATATAAAATAGATCATTTATAGACAGATATGTATAATTGAGATAGTTTTTTTCCCTCATAAATATTTTTTATTTATTTCAGGATACTTCATGTGTGATAAATGTATTTCCAAAGGTACATGGGACTTGTTAGAAAAATTGTTGTTACTTATAAAGTCAACCAAATCAAGCAGTACGCAAAAGGAATTTGAAACTTTGAAAAACATTATAAGAATTCAGGAAGATTATACTTTGAAATGGAACAATATAAATAAGTCCAGTCAGCTCATTGCAAATTTATCATCAGATTTATATCAGGAAGTTCTGCACAAGTTTTCTCTCCCAGTATGTTAATTGAATCAATGCATATTTCAAGGTTTATACGTGTTTAATTGTCTATATTAAACGTTAATCAAATGTTATTACAGGAAATTTCACAACAAGACATCCTGCAGTTAAATGGTATATACACAGCCACACCAGCATTGTTGTATTTTCCATTAATTGCCTTTGGCAGTAACATTGTAGGCTACAAAACTCTTTCCAGCGAGTCAGGATTGGAACAAACCTTACCTACTTCTGATGTTGGTGGTTGCATCATTTACAAACAGAGAAACACCAGAAACGATGGGACTGCAGTAGTTGTGCCAACGATACACGATTTATTGGCGCTAGCATCTCAGAAAGCAGCGAGTGCAATTATCTGTTTGCCGTACAACTTGCAGCACCTGCCGCAGCAAGTGCTACCGAGTTTGGAGGATTTCAAGAAACTGATTTTGTGGTTTGGAAATGACGATCCTAGCTGGTACACAGCTAGACAATTTGCTAAGAAGTTAAGCGAAAAGAGATGCTCGTTTGTGAGGCCAGTAGATACGCAACCAAGACCAAAGCTGGCTGCTGATAAGGGCTACAATTTGAAAGATATTTTAACAAAAGCCTACCCGATATGGCATAAAAGTATTACTACTTTCGACGATCTCAGACAAGACGTGTTGTGCGACCTGCAAAATATAGACAAAGTTCAAGGTGTTAAGTGGAAAAGGTATCCCACTCTAAATCGGATTTTAGGAGGTCACAGGAGAGGAGAGCTCACAATTCTTACTGGCCCAACTGGTAAAACAATAGTAAATCAATTAAAACTACTTTCTTGTTGCAAGGAGAAAATTACAGTAACTAAATTATTCAAATTACAGTATATTGTGTGAAATAATATTTTCATACATATTATTATATTTGCACAGGTAGTGGCAAAACTACATTTATGAGCGAGTATTCGTTAGATTTGGCGATGCGAGGGGTTAACACACTGTGGGGTAGCTTCGAAATCAGAAATGCACGATTAGCAAAAACTATGTTGCAACAAATGGCAGGGGTGTCTCTAGAAGTCAACCTGGACCGATTCAACACGTATGCGGACGCTTTCAACAAGTTGCCCGTTTATTTCATGGCTTTTCATGGTCAACAGAGCATCAAAGTTGTTATGGATGTAGGACTTGTATATTCGATTATTTATAACTGCAAGTTTTTCTGTTACGTATGTACATGTAGAAGTAAGTCTTCTTTTTTTCCATCCTAGGCAGTTCAACATGCGACATACGTGCACGATATAGCCCATGTGATAATTGATAACATGCAGTTTATGATGGGCGTATCGGAAGACACGAAAGTTAATAGGTGAGAGGTATGAACAACGCTTTCCGAAATTTCGCTTTTATATTTATACAGCGTTAAATTGTAGATTTTGGAAGCAGGACAAGATCATAGAAGAGTTCAGAAACTTTGCTACTAAATACAATTGTCACGTAACTCTGGTTATACATCCGAGGAAGGAGAAGGATGACGAATTGACGAATTCGTCTATATTCGGCAGTGCCAAAGCAAGTCAAGAAGCTGACAATGTATTGATTATACAAGATAAAAGGCTTACTAATATCAGGGGAAAGAAGTATTTGCAGGTATGTATCTGTAAATACATTAAGGGACACATTGAAAATACTCCAATCAGAAGGATTTATTGGATTGGGCTAAAGCTTGGTAAACAGAGAGACAGAAGACTCAAGACCAAGTGATGCCAATTCATTGGCAACACAACCATAAGTTTATACAGGATGGTCTAGATAGGGCTTGTGATTATATATTACTGAGGACAAGAGGAATATGTCCTATAACTTTGGGCTCAATCAGATAGATTCATCTGAGTGGGACATTTTCAATACCCCTTAATGTATCAGACAGTGTATTCACCAGTCTTAAAGACATAAATCAAAATATTCTCTTGTGTCACTAGATCACGAAAAACAGGTATAACGGAGATTTAGGAATAATGCTGATGGACTTCAACAAGGATACACTCAGTTACGCAGAGAAGAAGAAGAAGTTGGAAGTAAAGAAAGCTCATAGCGGTGAAGAAAAGCCAAAAATCTGAGAATTACTTGTCAATTAGTACACACTTTTAGTATACACTGTACAGATTTACAATATTTTACATAGGACTTGAAAGAGAACGCCTCTATAATTGTGATATTTTATAATACAACATAAAAGAACCTTTGTACACAAAGCATAGGAAGAAGATTTTGCAACATTTTTAAGAGAGAAAGTGGAGAATTTCGCATGTATTCCTATATTTACTTGACAGATTAAGTGAGAATAATCAGCGAGATCCACGATTACGCGATTAGTCTCGTACAGTTCACTGTTTTACCGATCGTGTAAACACCCACACGTTCGTGACGATACACGAAGAGCGTCGAAGAATGCGTGATTTTTTTGGCGGTGCTGTCTTCTCTCGGCGTGATCTCTACTTTCGCATTTGGCACATCTTTTCGATATTTCGGTACAAAACTAGTCTGTTCCGTGCGTACGTCATGACGATCTTCCGAGAATGTCTCCTCGCGTACTTCGTCGTCGGCCTTGCGTCGTTAGCTGCGTGCGACGTGATCTCGAAGGAGCCGACTGTGCTGATCGCGATTCTGGTCAGGAATAAAGCACACACTCTGCCGTATTTCCTCAGTCTCCTGCAGCGGCAGGACTACCCTAAGCAACGAATATGCCTCTGGTGAGTTCTGTCACGAAGCGCAAACATAACCTTATCTCACGTCGCCCCCACGTCGGCAACGACGCGCTCGAGAACTGGCAAAAATTTGTCGGATCGTCAAGATTATAATTACAATTACCGATGTGATAAATCGAGTAATTCGTCCATTCGTTAATCTTAGTATGCACATAATTTTTGAAAATTTATGTATTATCCTTTGCGAGGTAAATCAGTGAATATTTATCATTATAGTCTTATAACTGCCAGTCGGAATTAATTACCTGCGTTCGCGAGCGAATTGAAAGGTAGTTAGTTAAAAGGTAACGCACTTCTTCTTTTATTGCAATCATTCTTATTCGTTGAAATTTCCCCATCAACGCGCACTTTTCTTCGCTCACTGCCGTGTAGATCTCTCAGTTTGTGTTTAAAAATTTGAAATTATCCGCTAGTCGTATTATCGATACAACGCGTTCGAGGTGCAGGTGCGCGTATAATTGTACCTGACTTCACGTGCAGAAGCGCGAAAGAGCCGCCATGTTGTTCCGTTTGGGTCGCGCAGCAATTTACGCGTTTGGACTATTTTCCAGTTTGAAACAAGATTATGTATATATATTCTGTAAGTATTGCTCGTTATTGCTTGATGCTTGTTACTTCCTTGATTTTCTAGTTTTACACTTGTTAGAAAGTAGCGAGGAAATTGTAAGGAAAGATAATAATACCTACATACATACATTATAAGGGAAGATAATAATACATATACTTATTTAAATTATCTTGTAATTAAATTTAAATTAAATTAAACTAATTTAAATTAAATCTGAACGTGAATGAGAGTAGGAGAGAGGAAAAGGGTGAGAAATGCAGCTTTTTAGATGATCAAGAATCGATAGAACGGTTTTATATTGGCTGTTTCAGGGTACGCAGCGACAATAATGTCGACAATTCCATAGAGATATTGACCAAGTGGATCAATTCGGAAGGCGAGCTGTATCATTCTCTGAATGTCCACTTGAACGCAACGTCGACGGGGTTCGAAGACGAGAAAACGATCGCCGATTGGTCGCCCAGCAGATTCGCACACATAATAGATTTGCGCGAAAGAGCACTTAATCACGCGAGACAAGTGTGGGCAGATTTCATTTGGGTAAGTTTATTTTATGATTTCAATAACATTAGTCTCATGAATACATTTTCTAATTTTGTATAAATAAATAATTATATATATCATGATTGAATATTCTTTCGATACAATAATAATATACTAATAGAAAGTATTAGCAGTTTTAACCTATGAAATAAAAATATTTTTTTGCAAAAAATATTGATATTGCATCTTCCACATATCTTACGCATACAAGAAAAGAGGAATTCCTCGAAACGAAAAGAAACATTTCGCAGATGCTGGATGCTGACGTCTTCTTGACCAATTCAAGCACTTTGCGAGACTTGGTTCTGAAGGGGAAAACTGTCGTGGCACCTTTGTTGAAATCGGACGGCATGTACAGCAACTTTTGGGCCGGTATGACGGCGGAACATTACTACGTGCGCACAGATCGATACGAGCCGATTTTATATCGTGAGGAGACCGGATGTCACGACGTACCCATGATCCACAGTGCAGTTCTCATAGATTTGCGAAGACGTGACTCCGATCGTCTGACCTACAAGGCCGAGAAACTGATCGGTTACGACGGACCCGTGGACGATATTATAACATTCGCCGTTGGAGCGAATAAGTCGGGTAAAATGAAGTCACGATGGTTCTTTTTCTCGGGATGACTGATGTTTTTTCGGGTGAAAATCTCGAAAAAGAATGTCTTGTTTCAGGGAAAGATCAGCTCAAAATTGTTGGAGAGCCTGTAATTGTTTTTTTTTTGCATCTGTTTATTCTGTGATATCCTGCATGGTATCTTAAAATATTGCTGTATACATATATACATATAGGTATATCGTTTTGTGTCATAGATGTGTCATTGTTCGTGTGTAACGACGAAATTTACGGTTTCGTCATGGTACCCTTGGAAAGTGACGAGTCTATCGCGGAGGATACGCTACGGTTGACCAACACGAAGGTAGAAATGTTGGGTAGGTTTTTGCTTTTCTATGACATTATATAATATACAATACATAAATTTAATAAATAATAAAGTTTCTCTGTAAGAAAAACAAGTAATATAAAGTATGTTAAAATTTAAATAAAATATATAAATAATTTCAAAGAATGGAGATTATTTCCGGTAGTAATAGACGAAACCATTTGTTTTTAAATTTTTCATTCGGCACGTAATATATCCGGGTGATAATTATTACTAGAAACGATACGTTATACTATCTCGTAGTATGCACTCGCACGCGCATTCTTTGTGCAGCCCACAGCGACTATCTGCCACTGTCAGAAGATCTGAAACAATTCGTGACATATCCGGAGATGGACACCTTAAGTTTGGATCACATTTACATGATAAATCTGCTGAGAAGACCGGAGAGACGCGGAAGAATGCAAAGACTCTTCAAGGAACTCGGCATTCGGGCGGAAATTATTGACGCCGTGGATGGTAGGTGAGTTACGACGAGATAATAAGCGTTCCTTTATAAACGTAGAAATTCAGAATCGTTCAAAATACGCGTGTAATTTAACCTTGCTGTTCTGCTTCATTTCGATTAGTCTCCGTTTTTTTTTTTTTCAAACGCGACGATATATCCAATTATTGATCCTGAAGTTTCTTTTTAATTTCATCGATCGATTCCTTCTCCTTTCTCTTTTTTTATATGATAGATATTTATAAAATATAGAAAAAGAATATCATGTGTACGTCGGGATCACTTCATGACAGAGTAGTTAACTTTGTTACACGGTATCTTTTTCTCCCTTTTGTTTACCTGGAAATTCTATTTTTAGCAATCGGTTTTAAGTATGAATAAAATGCGACTAATATCGACGCATGATGTAAATAAAAAAAAGGAAGTGCCGTGTCGCAAAGCTCTTGACGTAAAATAATCCTTTAAAAGTTTGCCGTATATTTGATTTGGTAATCACGACGCTTGGACATCTAGGGATTCGTTTGAACGAACGAACGAACACAATAAGAATGTGAAGTAACCAAACCGTACGTAACAACAGGGTTAGGAATATCGAAACGCGACATGTTACATCTGAAAATTGCGCCTACGAATTGCGGCCTTGAGGAAACAATTGTTGTCGCGGGCTACATGCGATGTTTGCCGAAATTGGCTCGGGTCTGTTGTACGAATTACAAAACATGGCTGACAACAATGCTGATTAACTTGAGAGACAGCCCGGGGAAAAAAGATCATATGTGAAATTTGCCCATATATATGGTTATATGTAACCATATGTGTCCACAACGAAAAAATACTGTTGCAAATTATATGCAAATGCAATCGAAGCAAATGCTTCCGGCTACTTGTGCTTTTGGCAGCACATGATGTCGATATTTAATTAAATAACGTATCATTTTTTTCATATAGACATATATGATGATACATGTAGCCACATATATGGACAGCAAATTCACGGTATGATTTTACATAATTATATATAATCATATATAATCAATTGTTTCCCGGGAGTCGTTACGATAACTTTCAAATCGGGGAACGAGCAGTGGAACAGGTAGAAGTTAATACGAATTTCAATTACACGCTATTAAAATATTGTCGCAGTCGTTATTATCGCTCGCTCTCGGCCTTATATTCGTATTTACACGTAAAATGTCCGGATACACGGTAAGAAAGTGTTTTCTTTTCACGTTTACACGAGCGTGTTGCCGCATTCGCGCACATTGCAAACCGTGCAAGTGTAGGTGCTGCCGTTTCGCGTTCTTTGAATGCTGACGTTATGCGACGACCGGCAAGTGCCGTTTCGCGAATTCTGCGAGTATCTGCTTCGCGTGCTCTTCTGGCTTCGCGTGCTCTTCTGGCTTCGTGTGCTCTTCTGGCTTCGTGTGCTCTTCTGGCTTCGTGTACTCTTCTCGCTGGTGTGCACTCTGTCGATACCGTGGTTGGTAGGTAGACCGGTGAGCGCCGTCACCCACTCGCAGAAAGAGTTGCGCATTCGCCTCGTGGCAGCCTGCGATGCAGAATGCAATTAACCAAATTTCATAACAAACTTCCACCTTCGGTCCCGATGCAAACCCGATTAGTACTTAGTCTCGGTATCCAAAAATGATTGTTTTTTTTTAATCAACCCGTGCAATAAGATAAATCTAAAATTGCAGAATTAAGAATCGTTGCTGGTTTCTCGCAAAGTTTCCCCTTAACTTCCCTTTCCTCCTTCACGCGACGATTACCTTAATCTCGTGCATTCGGGCGGCGTAGATAATCGGGTTGACCAAGGTCTTCAGGATGATGAGACAGTTGATTATCGTGTAGACGAAGAAAGTGCTGTGTCCCGACATCCAATTGAATTGCAACAGACAGTCCTCGCACACGAGCAGGTACATCATTACTCCGGGCATCCAGCCGATCAGGAAGCTTCCTTAGAAATTGCGAGCGGTGGCGTTAAGGCTTTGTCGCAGTGTTGGATTATTCAAGGCTGATATAAAAAATTCGCTGAAGAAGTTGAAGATGAAAGCCGCGTCTTCGATATCGTAATATACGCGAGGGAGAGGGGGGGAGGGGAATATCCTGTATATATCGGGTATCTTGCCGCTTCCGAGGCAACTTTCTCTGTATTACCAAGTATGAGTAAAGTGGTGTGGACCGCCTTGACGTTTTTCGCCATTTGCCTGGAAGTGCTGCGTAACGCTTCCGACGCCCTCGGGCGAAAGGATGATCCCGCTCTGCGGAAGCGCAGTCTCGTGGCTTGATGTTTCTTCACTATGCAGAATATGTGAACGTAAATGCAAACCATTAGGGCGAACGGTCCGAAGAAGAGGCTGCTGAACAACATTCGAAATTGCTTGTGATACAGGAACCTGGAAATACGACGTAACAGTTTACACTCGATGTGATTCGGTCGCTTTATGTCTTATTTACTTCGAATCCCCGCGCAATATAGATACGTGTGTGTGTGTGTGTGTGTGTGTGTGTGTGTGTGTGTGTGTGTGTGTGTGCTTGAGAATATTACAGATTTATTAATGAACAAAAATCAACCTTCGATGCGAGAATGAGCGAGAATCATTTTACGCGAGCAGTTTCACACTTACGCGTTCTTCTCGCATCCCACGGACTGGAAGCCTTCATTTTCGATTAGACTAAAGTAGAGCGCGAAGAAGGAAATTGGTAGTACCCACAGCAGGACCAAGAGAAACGTAGTATTCCTTGAAAGAAATCGCGAAGATGCATTCACAGCGCTCGAGGAGATTTCTCGACGGGGAGAAACGAACGGTGATTACCTGTACGTCATGATCGAAAGATAATGGAGAGGCTTGAGAATGCCCAGGTAATGGTTGACGGCCAGAGCCATCAGATGAAATACGGTAATTATCACGCCTCCCAATCTCACCGCTTCAAGCGCCAATACAAAACAGCTTACGCCTAGGAGCGATTAGATCCTTCAATTAGTATCTTATTTCCACCGAGATATTCGCGCGCGTGTACGGAATATCTCGGATTGTAAAATGCGATCTGTTCTACGGCACGTCGAGGGAAAGTCTGGTAAACGTAAGAAATTTCTATCGGTTTATTATATCAGGACAAATTCAAACACCCTGTCTTAAGATAAAGATGATTTTTTTAGGTTGATTATTCTATCATCTGCTAAACTTTGATAAATATTTTAAGTCTGGTTAATTAAATATTTTAAGTCGAAGTTGAAGACAAGGATACACCGACGAAATTTTACCTTTCAACTCAATTCCAAGACCATAGGGTATAAAACTATTCATGATTAATCCTATGCCCAGAGCGGTGCTGGAGAAAGCGTCCGCGCCTGCAAAGACGATGCAGAAATTAAAATTGAAATATAATATAAGATTCGGGCGCTGTTTTTCCAAAAGAAAAGCTGCCATTTATCGAATCATAATTGAAGCTCGTTGCGCGCATGCTGGATTATTTTCAGTGCTTGTTTTGCAATGTGGAAACGTAAAGATAAGGAATTCCGAAAGAGACCCTTGTATCTTAAACTTTAAGAAATACTATAAATTCGAAGGTCTAATTAATTTGAAGAAAATTAACACCATAGACATCCAAGGTTGCCATTATATCGAGATAATTGTTACCGGTATATAGTTATACTGCTTGGTTATAAAGCTGTCTGGATTCCCCCGAGAGGTAAAACCCGAGCTTGAATGATGAAACATCATTCTTCACTCAGTTCCAAGCATTCTCTTGATTTTCTTAGGTTACTTGGTCTCAACTTTACTTTAACATAAATTAACTTGCAAGTTGGTCAAGATAAGTAATATTGCGGATCAAGAAGTTAGTAGAGACGGGGGGTCTCATGAAATTTTTATTGCGGTAAGCTAATCTCAAGAAAAGTGAAAGGGGATCCATTGCTGAAATATGACTCGAAGACAAACTCTGGCGTGTAGTCCGAAGTGGACGTAATTTTACTTACGCTCGGAAGCATAGCGAATTAGCGCGAGCTATGTCGTGAGAGACCGAAGAAGATTGAAAGACAATATTTTCGCCCGCTAAAAATACTACGACAAGTTTACTTTCCGTGATTTTCCGACGTACTTATTAATGCACGATTTCAGGGACACGGTGCTTATTTAATGTGGAGTTTAGTGCCACGAGCGAGTGCCACGAGCTACCATTCTGTTATGGGTCTGTCAGTTTTGAGGAGGTTGTAAAGCTCAGTGTGATATTTTCAATGGCGCGTCAAGGGGGCTACTTGGAAATTTAATATTTATCAAGTAAAATTACATTTCCAGATATTTATTTCACCATCTAAATAATAAATGTTCATTTGAAACGAAGTTGAGATAAACATATGTACAAAATATTACAAATACGAAAATATTATTATTTATTTTTGTTATTAATGCTATATTTATACGTAAGTTGATCTAATAGAGAAGCTGAAGTAACAGAAACGGATATATAAGTATTGAAATTTGTGCGTATGTAAATGTATATTTCGAGTATTACTATAAACTATGAACTTTACACTATTGTATTTTCAAAACAAAATGTTCATAATTTTAAAATTTATGTAGGTATTGTATTTCTTTACTAGTCTTTAATATCATAGTAGTTTTTCATCAAAATCTCATTTTTATTTAGAGGATATTAGAAATAGAAATTAAAAATAGTACGCAAATTTCAAGGAACACGTATTAAAAGTATCACCTTTAGTTGCAAATCTCTTAATTCTCGAATGGTCAATCTTTTTCTTCCTGCATTTGAAGAGAATCCGGTGAAACTACGTAGTGCAAGTTTCATCGGATTCTCTTCAAATTCATTTCGCCTTACACTCTCTTTAAGAGAGAGAGAGAGAGAGAGAGAGAGAGAGAGAGACGAGCACACACATGCGTAGGGAAAATTCACGCGCTGGAAAAGTCACTGCATACCTGCTAAACTCAAGCTGATGTGTAACGTTGGACTGAGCGGCCGTTTTATCCAAAATACACTCATCAGAACCTTGATATTTATGGCTATCGAGATGACGCAGAAGAGTATCAGCGGCGGCGTCCCATATAAATAGAGTACACCACTGACATGCCCGATACGACTTTGTATGTCCGTGCCCGCCGCCACCGATTCATCAATCGTTGTCATTTTCTTGGATTCGATCGACCCCTCGAACCTCGATCGGTGGAGCAGCGGGGTGGCATGGGTCGGGAAATTCAACGTGCCGTGCGCACGTTGCGTCGCAAAAAATTCCTCGGGCTGCATGATTATTTCCTGCTACTCCGCTACCTATCGATGCTCGTTATCCCGACATCGATGATTCGCGTATCGTTGCCTCATCCTCATGGGATAGAACATCTCGGTTTGCCGATGCATCAGCCGGTTAACTCACGAACCTGAGGATCCCCGCCTGAAAGTATGATTGTTACAAATGAATGCGGGCGAAGTTTGGAGCGATCTTTCGAGTGAAAATGAAAAAGATTTATTTTAAAGTTTAATTTAAGAAAACAAAGTATGTAAGAAAGAATTTTTTCATTTTCCATTTTTAATCGAGAAAATGTTCTAAAAGATTGTGCTCTTATTTACAATCTTTAAAGCACTTTTAAATGGATAACCGTTCAGAATTGGATTCATATTTATATTCTACTTCAACTTGCACCAGAAATATATTTCTTTAGTTTGTATAGCATGTCATGTAACACACACTTATATTGTATGTACAAATTATATATTACATAAATATATACTATATTAAAATATTATTTTTTAAAACATAAAATCAATATAAAAGCGAGCTGATAGAGAAAGTGAGGCGAGTATCCCGGCGTTGTTGGAACTACCGAGTATTTCCCCAAAGTTCCACGATTGTTCGTTTCATTTCTCTTTCATGTCCGACGCTTTCAATGGCTCATCGCGTTTTCGTCTCGTGTAACACGTCATTTTAACGAAGCGTACATGTCATATCACGTGTATGTTTCGCTCGCTCTTGATATTCTGTGGCAAAACACGAGAGCGACCTGTAGCATTTACTTATTCACATGCGGACATGGTGAAAATCTCGGAATTTGCATCCTCCTAATAATTCCGCCGCGCTTCTCTCGCTTGCGTCNGGGGGGGGGGGGGGGTAGCTTCGTTCGTCGGGATGCCGAAATCCGAGCTGTTCCGGTAATTATGTGCCGAAACATGATGATATACTTTCGTCCCTTCGCACGTTTCTCATTTCACAGTCCTGCCCGAGCGTAGATAGAAGTAGAGCGAACATTTTTAGGATCAATCACGTCGTCGAATCGTTCATGCGCGCAAAACGAAATTTCGCGCGTCACACCCGCGCGCTCGTCACTTAGATGTAGATTGTAGACAGCGGTCGAAAATTTCTGCCTACGATCTCAGCTCATTGTGCAAAGAGACAGTGCTTTTGTACTTTGCCGAATGTCTCAGACTAGAAAAAAGTTAGTTGGTTAATCATTAGAGCCCGTCAGCCGCGGCTGACGATCGTTAATTTCGCGGACGCCCGTCCATTACCTTGCTCGCTCGCTCGCTCGCTCGTTCGAGAGAAATCATAATTGACGAGTTGTCCACGCGCGGGAACAAATCCGAGGAGCGGGCCTAATCTGTGAAGAGTTATTCGGCGCCGTTCTCTCGGTCTGAGCCGGCGAAACCGTTAAGTAGAAAGTTCGTGTATTCATTGTATTAAACTTCCAGGCTTTGTCATTTTTGTCAACTCAGATTTCAAGAGGCATCCTGGTAATTACGGAGTTCCAGTTTTCTCCCCGAGAAGTCTAAAGCGGCCTCGCAAGGCGGATACCCTTTGGAAATATCGAGAAAGCAATTAGGAAGGTGCGACTTCATTCATTCGAACGCGCTACTCGGAGATTTCCGATGATCCCGGAGAATTCCACCTCTCCTCCCACGAACACCGGCCGGATGGGTTATCTTTTCGGGAAATAATAATGTGAGGAGAGCAATTGTTCCAATATTATATCGCGAATACAATTATCCGCGGCATACGGTTAGAATATCCCCGCGTGGGAAAGAAGAATTACTCCTGCGGCTAAAAACTAGCTGCGTGACACAACTGAAATCCAATCGCCGTATCTGTTTTTTAGCTGGATTAATTACAAAGAATATTAGAATCTCGAAATCAGGAGGTCTTCACCTCCCCGTGCGCGCGCGGTACGCATCCTCCTTTCGAACGGCGCGCGAGAAGGTTCTCGCGTGATACGCCCGAAAGAAAAATACGTACAACGCCAATCACTTTTAATCAGAGTATCTTTAAATTAAACAGGGCTGGAGATAATTATCTCTTCGTCGAACATTCGCGGGGATAATCTCGGGGGAGGAGAGATCCGCGTTTATTGTTCCGCGTCCAGCGATTTATTGCGGTTACACTCGCTCTCATTTAACCGGCCGGACGCCAAGGCTCGTCGCGTCCTCTTCGTCGAGAATGGGAAGATTTAACGCGGCGCACGTTTGCGGGATCCGCGATTTTTCACATTAGCGCCGGGGCGCGTCTCTTCCTTCGGCAGTTATGTTAAACCGGCGGCGCGCGCGCGCCGGTTAAAGCCGGAACGGCGGAGATACGCGCGCGGTAAATCTCGCTCGCGATTGTGCTTTCTATATCGAATCTCGGACGTAGCTCGGCGCCGGCGTCCTGAGAGGGTGGCGGATATTTCAGAAGAGGGAAAGATAATAATGTCATTAGCGTTAGTGCGCTTGACGTATGGACAGCGCGTAACGGCGCGACAAGAATAAAAATGAAGGAGCAGAGCCGCCGATGAATTATTTCTCGCGGCGAAAGGTGCGGGAAGGATGGATTCGCCACGGCGGTATGGATTTCTCTCTCATGGGTTATTGGTGGGTGCGAATTATTAATGGGCCGACCAAAAACCACCACGGAAATATTTTCAGACCTGATCCGAGCGGTTTTCGGTTCTCTCTCTCTCTCTCTCTCTCTCTCTCTCTCTCTCTCTCTCTCTCTCTCTCGTGCTTTAACTTTCATGAATGAGCTGTAGGTGTGTGTGTGTGTGTGTGTGTGTGTGTGTGTGTGTGTGTGTGTTTGTATATTCATGTGCTATAATCGCGAAAGTCAGCCGGCCTCTGTTATCGCTCGCGTTTCTCGTTCGTTTGTTTGACTCCAATCGCCGGGAGGTGATCTAACAAAGCCCAGAGATTCTTTCTTTCGTTTGTTTCCCCTTCGTTTCTTTGATTAATGCGTATTTTTTCCTCTTGCTAATTCAAGCTGAGACTTACGCGGAAAGGAAAACGAACAACCAGCGAGGAACAACGGGGTGAAAGATCGATCGCCACAGATTCTTCACGCATACGTCCGTTTAGGACAATGTATAGGATTTTCAGCGGCACATTTGGCATGCGAGGCAATATTTCTTATCGTGAGGCGAGGTAACACTTTCTCGATGAAGGGAGATCTAAGGAGCAAGGACAACCGACTGAGAGAGAGAGGGGGAGAGAAAATATTTTTTCTTTTTATTTTTCAAAGATGCAAATCGTGAAGTTTTACGTTTTCATTCTGCGCAGGCTTTATGTTAGCTTTATGTTAACACGGAAACAAATTAGTCTTAAATAAAGAATAGATATTCGCACATATAAGCAAGAATATTATAATCTTCGATACTGTGTCGATACTGTGTCTTATCAGACCGTTTAATATTAAAATTTCACGCACGGAGAAGAAAGGTCGATTGAATTAACGTAACAATGAGCGAATCAAATGCGTTTTGATTGGAGGAAACGGAATTTCTGCGGTTCTTATAAACCGAATTTAGTTCTTAGAACCGGAAATTCTATTTCTTTCAACGGAAACGCATTTGGTTCGTTCATTGTCACCTTAATTCAATTAATTTTTGTCTCGGTGCGAGTTATAAAAGAACATGACTCCGAAAAAGAGAGAAAGAGAGAATTACAAATCTTTGCGGGGGGAAATTTTATTCTGATTTGCAATAAGAGAAACATCACAGAGTTCGAATTTGATTAAAAACGCTGAGAACATCTTATATAAAGAAAATATATGTAATATCGCGCCGCGTACATAAGGTCGCAACATGCGACACGCACATCAAGTTGCTTAAAGCCGCAACCTGACGCACATCTAATAAATATTCTCCTCGCGCTTGGCGCGCTCTTTAAATTTAAAAATACTAGCGCTTTATTTTTTACCCCGTGTAGAGCGCGCGCGGCTTTGCTTGGTTTACGTTTCGCAACGTGACAAAGCGTGAACAATATGAACACCAATAACAAGTTTAATTAGCTATTAACGATCGAGGATACGTGTGAAAAAGTTCACCAACGGCGATGTAACCGTGCCGGATGGGGGCACATGTATATCGTGAGGTCGAGCCGTAGAAAGGCGAAGGCCTGCAAGAAAGATAATACCTACATCGTGCGATCGTATCGTCCTACGTGCATCGAGGACAATAGTGTGGCGGCAACTAGGACAGTCAGGATTTCTAAAAGGAGACGTATTAACGAGATCGCGCGAGTATCGACGGAACCCTTGCTGTTTTCATGCCACGAGACGAACGAAATGTGCGTCTTCGCGATATCGCAAATAGTCCCATCAATGCCGCATTTATTATGCAGTTGACAGTTGACAGATAGGGGAAGGGTGATATTTTTATATCGTCTATTTCTATCGTCTCTTGTCGCCCACCTACTTCTATTTCAAAGATTTTATTACGCGATCTCTCTCACTCTCTCTTATATTTCTTAGATAGGGAAAGGGCGGTTACTAACTAATAATTAACGAATTTGGTAAGGATTAATTTGACCCTCCCCATGTTGTTTTCAGAATTAAGATCCGACTAATTGTACTTTATAGTTAAAATTCTATAGCATTCTACTGTGTGTTTTTTTCTCTGCACTTGTTTTCCCGCTTCAGTGCTGGTCTCAGCGACGTAATATTTAACCGTTCTTCATATTTCGCTCGCTAATATCACTATTATGTATTATCTTATAATTTTATATAGTCCGACTCTAACATTTAAGCTATGTCACTGTACACCGAGAACTTAAGGGCTCCATCTCAGGGTTTAATCTATTCTATTCTCTCTCTTTCTCTCTCGCGCTTTTACATTTCAACTTACTTTGTACGTACGACATTCCATCGCGGAGACTTTTAATATTCGAATCTACGAAGAATACATCACGAAATGAACATGATGAATACATCGAACTGAAATGTTTCGGATTCGGGAGGCGAGAATTGTGTGTGTTCAAATATACTTTCAAACGATACGATCCTATGGAGGACGGTGTGGTTTGCGCGGTGACCGCTCGGTCCCCTTAAACCGCGTGGAACTTTTGAAAAGGTCGCTGGCGTTATCCGCTCCGTAGCCCGAGAGAGAAAGAATGCCTCCTCATCTCGTTCCGCTTCGCTATTGTAACAGTTCCCCCGGTGATAAATATCCTACCAAGGGCAACGTTACCGTGGTTTTACCGCGAAGGTGGAATCGATATAGGCTTTCGCTCCTCGACGCGTGAAACGTGCACGTGCCGTAACGAGATCCAGATCGGCGCGAAACCGAGGATGACGCGATGCTTTTTTAGCGAAGATCACGTGATTTCGCGCGGCCGGGTTGTCACGGGACGCTTCGACCGGAAGACGGTTAATTGCTCGTTTACGCGCGAGAGAAGTAAATTCGCGACGGGACGGATGTATCCGCGATGGCGATCGATGGCGCGTGACATCGTCGCTGCGATGTTCCGCTAATCCGGATCGAGCGTGACGTTATCGAGCGTTTCGGAGACGTTTCTGCGCATCTTGTCAATTTCGAGATGTTCGCGGGAATCTCGTTGTAACGCGCGAAAATGAAATTGTTCACCGGTAGGTGAAGAAATTGGCACTTCTTTCCTTGTTTAAATGAGATTTTTAAACGAGACTTTTAAACGAACTCTTGTCTATTAAATTCTCCGCTGGTCTTTTTAAAAGTGCGACGGCAACTACGATAAAAAAAAAACTTCGCGTTGTTTCACTGAAATGCTGAATGAACCTTTGTTTTTCCACCCTTATTTCCCCCGTGACACACACAGCTGCTGATTATGACACCAAAGAGTTGGTTAGAAATGTAATATCTGTGCGTCAGACATTTCTTTCAATTAAATAGTCCCTTCCTTTGTCTTCCCCCCCGCCTTCTCTTTCTCTCGCGCAACTTTTTCATTAAAGTTGTCCAAGATTATAATTATCTTCGTCCTACAGTATTACAGTTCTTTGAGTGAAACTTATTAACAACACGCGTGGTGTTGAAGTAGAGGTGTGCAAATCGCTCAAATCGAATTAAATCACCCTTGATTCGATTCAAGTTCGAACATATTATGTATACCTTTACTAGCTTGTAAAATATGATTAAATATATATATATATATATATATATATATAGCACTTAGCAAAGCTTTATCTTTGTGATTGGTAGGAGATTTTCTCAAAACTATGCTGTGATTAATATTTTTACCTATTTAATGAAAAATTCTTAATATCATTAAATGTACCTTTTCACATACAGATTAGCAACGTAACGTAAATTCCGAGGTCTGCTTCGAATTCAATTCGCATTCGAATTAAAGAGACTCGATTCGACGCGCGCAGATGCTCGATTTCGTACACCTCTATGTTAAAGCCGAGTCAAACGATTCGAATCGAAGAATGTTAAAGTCTCGTCTAATCTCTCCCGAGATTTGTCCTCCTGTTTCTTCATCGTCTCCCATTGTCACTGGCTTCCCCGGACGGAGTCTGCGGCTTTTTGCAACTGTTCCGATAAAAATCCGAGTTACGTTGTCCGACCTTGAATAATCGTTACAAGGCTGCAGGCGACTCGGTCAGCGTCGTAGATCCCCGCGATAACATTTCGTACGTATAAATGTCGGTCCCCGGGGCTTCCGTCTGCCGAAAGCAGAAACAAGGGGGAAAACAAGTTATAAATGGCCGGCATATATACTGAAACTTTTACGGACGGCCGAACGCTTTTGATTGATTAGCCTGCCCGCGCTCTGTGCGTTTTAACGATTATATTTGTCGCCCACGTGCCGCCCGCTGTTCCTAATTACACTTAGCACCGGGTCTCGTGCAATATCGTAATGAATGATCCGGAAAGGACCACCGACCTAGAACCTAAGTAGAACCAACTGCCTACGACGTGCGAACTGACGTCACGACATTCGTATAGATCCAGGGGTTGATCGCGCACCGACTCGAATGGTCGTTTTAAGAAATTAAAGGAACGCAATATAGTCGAATTCGTTTTCATTATCAGTGCGACGCTTAGGGAGGCGTAAATGCCGCGATATTTATCGGGACACGCATTCGAATTCATTTCACCGAAGCTTCCGGAGGGAAATCTCCCCGAGTAAATTCCGCGCTTCTCCGTCCGGGTGAGCGTGCTGTCGACGTATGTTTTATAGTGGACCAAGAACGACGGATCGTTCAAGCAAAGCCGAGTGGAATCGACCCGCCGATCGAACTGTCGTATTCCGTATCGTTGCTTTCTCGTGCTCGTATCGACGCCGAGAAAGATCGATATGTTCGGCTGGCTCGTGACTTGTGGCGGGCCGGCGGCCCGAGAAGTTTTCTCTCCTCGTTTTCTTCAACTAGCAGCGTGAACAGGGGGTGGGTGGTTGTGCGCAGCGACATATCGCCGACACGTGTTGCGTCTCCCATATATACATTATAATCAACGAACTCGAAGAAAGATCGCCTGCCTCCGCCTTTCGTCGCCGAAATTAGGCTGCTGTCGCGGGATATTTGGCTGATCGAGATGTGCACGGCTGTTTGATTACGTCAGACGCGATCGAAAGGAGAAAGAGACAGGAAGAAGAAGAGAGAAAGAGAGAGAGAGAGGGAGGGGGGAAGGGGGAATAGCACGGTGAACCGCGTGCCTTCGTGTTTTTCCCAAATAAAAGTTATATCGTCGGTTCATGCCATACCATCTGCTCGTCCGTTCTCTCGCAGGTGTGTGCGTGTGCACGCGTGTGTATGTGTATATGTGTACGCAAGGGATGATCGAAGGAAATTCGGGAGCGCACGGAGAAAAAATGTTGCTAAAACAACAAATTCTTTGTTGATATAGTGAAAGCAAGAAACAATTTATTCGGGTAGCGGAAAGATTTGTTAAGAGTATTAATTGATATTTGCTGGATACTTGGATAGAGCAAGATAATTTGATCGTGCCAACTAATTTTTATCGCTGGCGCAACGACGTTTCGCTACAACGGCAAAATGATTTTCTCCGTGCCACAAATTTCTTCTCTGTCGCTATATTAACGAACAATTTACTATTCCGGCAAAACTTGCTTTCTCCGTGCGAATGTGAACGAACGTTTCGGGATACGCGCGCTTTCGCCGTATCATCGGGCTGTGTCAATAAAATGGGGCGAATGCCTTTCCTCTTCTACTTATCGAAGGCAACATATCGAAGGAGGCATGAGCGACCAGTATTATATAGCATTTGCTTATACACTTGAAATTGAAATTTGCTTTCCCTCTCACCCCTTCAAGAGGCACGCCGCTTTTACCGTATTACCAAACATCTTTTATCGATCGCGATCTCGCTTTTCCTGTCTCTCCCTTTCGTCCAAATCGGGGCCGGTTTTCTCCGAAACGAAAGTATCGCCGATGGATAATTTTTCGCAGGCTGATGATTCTTGAATAATTAGCGTGACTAAAAGTATCTTTCTGCAAAGTATAAGCCATAGGTGGAATGAAAAGATTCCAAAGCGGTGTCTTTCGTTTCTTCGATTATTTTTCTAGGCAAATTTAAATAGCAACGTCATCGCGCGTACTTCGCTTTTTTTACTCGCACGACTTGTCGAATTCGCTCGGAGTGAAGAGTGATCGTCTTGCATCAATGGTAATTCGAGCGCTGTTTGCTTTTGCTTCAGCGAGGCCAACTGAATGATCGCAAAGGCCTTTTCTCGCCAAAATAGATGAGCTATTTATCCGATCAACGTTTATACGCTTTTAGCTGAGCACTGCTTCCCTTGGGGACAAACGTTTTCTTTCTTGCAGGGGGGGAGAAAGGTACGGTTAATCTTTCAATGCTGCAAAGTTCGTACGAACCCAGTCACAAGTTGTGTGATTCGTTCGCAGATTTATTTATTATTTACCTCGCAGCTTAGAAATAATTTGGAGTGCTATCTCGAGTGACATTTGATTTTTTTTTTTTTCATAAGTTTCATAAGTTTTTTTTCATAAGTTTGCGCGCGTTTTCTTAACTTCTTCCGCCGTAGCAAAGCACAAACGTGTTTACTCAATTATACTAAAAAAAAGTAATGAAAAATCAATAATCCTGGTAGAAATATATGCAGTTTTCCCGTTCAGTTACTGTCTGATGTTAATGCATTCTCACTAAATGTAATAATATTGCGTAGAAAATGAACAAGAGTTTTATTCGAGTGTATTTCTAGGTACCAAGACTTCCCCTTTCATGAGTAGCAGGCTTGCTTATTGAATCAATTGAATATTTTTTCTCCATTTATCGTTCTGTTTTCGTTCAGCAAATGGGCTCAGATTTTGTGTATCTTTGGCGCGTAGTAACTGCAAGAAAAGCGTTTCGCTTTGATAAGAATCCCAAGTAGTTTTACTCCTCACTTACTTGACAGAAGTTAATAAACAGTAACCGCTCAAAATATCCGTGAAATTCCTACCAGGGAAGTTGCTTCTTTTTATTTGTGTTTTATTGTCTCAGATTTATCGTATCATATCGTCGAAACATCTAGTTTGGGCGTTTGTGTCGCGCGATCTGATCCTACCAAATCGTGCGCGCGCGTCCTGAAGAGACAAATTTTAGTCTCTTTACATTTTACAAAGCGACGTTTACCACCCTATTCTTAGACACGAGTTATTTGTTATTCTCACTGCTGAAATTTTTGTTACGTTTATTGGCAAGCGGCAAGCCGGAAACTCGGTGAAAAAGGTGACAAACTACTATTTTTATAACGGGGTCAGAGGAGGAGAGGCGCGACCGGGCGGTTAGTAAATACATCGAACAGGCGACGGTGAGAAACCGACACGCGCGCGTCGAGCCCGAAAATCGCGTAACGTGTCAGTCCGGATGATGCAAATTCGAATTCTCCACGTTGCGTTGGGCGCGTTAACACGAACGTCGATGTTTGCGATTGGCCTATTTTAATTGGGCCGACTTGACGAGAAGTCGAGTGTTCGCCTTCGACCGGAGCGTTTGAAGTGCATTTGGAATCGCGAGGCAGGTGCGCGTGTACCGACACTTACCTTTGTTAACTCGTCTCCTCCGTAGTTTTCCCCGGCGTAATTCGGGCTCGTGACTTCCGGTGATTGTCGGTGACGATTATTCACGCAGCTGCCGTCGCGTGATCCTCCGGCCTCCTCTCTCGGTCATTAAAATACGATGCGACATGCAGGGGGCGAACGTCGGTGGCGGACTAAAGGATTTTCGCGGCCGGCTATACGCGGCCGGAGTCCTTTTGAAATTTTCCACGCGCAGGCCCACGGCGCATCATCATCGGGCGCAGAATGCGGATGCGGCGCGCGTAAAAGAACACTGATGTGTGAAATAAAAGAAGGATCGACCCATGATATCGATAGGCGTTAGATGACGCGGAAGATTAAAATACATCCTACGCGTGTACCCGATGTCGTCTCGGGCAGATACCTGCACCTCGCAATCGAGAAATATTGATCGCCCTGTTGCGCCCCGGATTCGTGATTATATCACGACGCACGGGAGCGTCTCGGTCGCGCGCTATTTTTTAACGCGGCGGGTTCTTCTTCGATCAAGCCGGTGGAGATTTTGCCGAGGGAGAAAATTCATTCGTCCGGACGCAAATGAAGTATGAAAGTAGACCGTTGAATTGCATTTTTATTTAAAAATACAGCTGTACCTTTGAAAGTGAGAATTTCGGGATAACGCGAGTTCGCGTGTGTGCTGCGGAAATAATTATTTATTATGAATTAATTATAAATTTATAATCGATTGTGTTACATATGTGATAATATTAATAAAAAAGAATAAAAATGTATGTTATATTAATATATATTAATAAGAAAATATTTATTTATTCAATTATAAATTTATATATTGTAGATGAAAGACCGTCTTCGTCTTTTCTTCTCGTCAAAAATAATTTCAGAGCTGTATTATCCTTTACGTGGTTTCTCCTTCGTGAGTCAATTACGTTTCCTCGGGGATCTGCTCGCGGACATGTTTCGTTCGTCTACGCTTTAAGATATCTTCTGAAGATTTGGATTTAACTGTACGGAAAAGAAATATTTTCTTCTTCACTGCTCCGGTATTGTGCCGAGGAATTTAATATTCTATTCACCGTTTGAAAGAGAGAGGAAGCGAGGAATATCGCGTGACTTAACATTGACGATTACAATTAAACTCGACTGAAGGATCTCAGCCCGACTTCTCCGTTTCCCCGTGTGTCTTTGCTCTCGATTTCTGCCGCTCTCGATGCCTCGAGAGCGCGAGCAGAACACAGGGGGCTCCGCCAGAGCGATTAATCCGTACTCGATGAATCGGCGCGCTTAATATTTTTCCGATATCTAACCTTCAGAGGACGGGCGGGGATTTTTTCGTGACTTTTACACAGTTTTTGATTTAGAACGTTAATATGTACGGCAGAGAGGTTATTATAGGAAAAATACGAGAGTGATGCAAAGCAGAAAAACCGGTTCTTCTCTGTGAACGGCATAACTATATTTAACTAGGCGCGCGTGCAAGAACTTGATAGTTGGCTTTGCCGTATCAAGTAGTGAAGGAATATTCAAAGATTGTGTAAGATCGAAAGGAGAGACATTAACACGTTCGTTATCGCGCTTGAATTAAAAGTCGCTTACGCTATATTTTTAATAATTGTAATTAACATATTGTATGTTTGCATTTGTGCAGAGAGAAAGATTTATTTGGGTTTGACAACATTTCTCTTTAATTGAAACAAATTTGTCTTTTGGAATAAAGCGAACAAACGAATGTTTAATTCAATCAACAAGCATGTTCGTTTGATGATTTCTCAAACAATAAATATCGTTACGTCAAATAACGTATTTCTTTTGTATTTTCATCCAAACATTACAATAATTGTTACAAGCAATAAATTATTTAAAGGAAGTAACGTCATGTTAGACAAATATTAAAGGACTTCTTTTTTCAGTGGAACAATATTTAATATATAACGAAATAAATTTTCTTTTATCGAAAACCAGATGCTATTTCCTCTAAATAATATTATTTTCCTATCAAACAACATGGTTCACTCTAGTGAAACAACAACATTTTTATTCAAACAAAATGATATTTGATATTCAATTGCCATTTATATTAAACAAATCTAAATCAAACATTTATACTAAATCTAAAGAAACGTTTTTCTCTCTATGTACACGTAAAATATATTCAATAGACAAATTAAGTATTTTATATATAATATGTGAAACACTCCAATGTGCAATGCTGGCAGTGAACCTGTTAATTTTTCTCACAGAGCAAGATTTCGCTTATATGCATCCCGCTTCAGTCTACCGGTCTTTTTTTATATTATTTTTTACTTATTCACTTTTTATATACATTATTCTATATTCTCCTCTTGCGGTTATTTTCCGACCGGCTCTCCGACAATTGAGACAAATATGGGGTAGTCCACGGGGTGAAGGAGGTAGAAACGAGAAATAATAAAAAAATTCATTTTTCACTCGGGAATAAACAAGTTTGATATTAGCGGTATGATGATAAATTCCGAGAAGTTTCGCAAAGTAAATAAGACAGGAAGACACCGAGGTTCCCGTCGAGTGAAGCTTAATCAGGCTGTCACGGCAGTATCCTCAGGGACGAATATCCTTCTCTGAAAGAAGAACCAGGAATCGAGAATCCGACGAAGGTCAGGTTAACGTGGACCGACCGAATGTAATTTTCAAGCCATGATATCCTTATTATCCTAATCTTTATTACGCTGTTTATCGAGCCCATTTGAGTTTCTCCCGTACACGTTCCATATTTCGTTATTTCTTTCTTATGTATTTCCCTCTCATTTTCATTTCGTCGCCGAGCGACACATAAATATGTTATTATCGCGCAGATTTTCCGGCGATATCGCGCACGATCTCCGTAGATCTTTATGTTCTGTTAAGCTAGGATTGACTGCTGCGTAATTTCCACCCTAATAGCGGGTAATCGATGATACGCTCTCCCGCTGTTCGGTCTACATTTGTCGAAGACTATCAATGACTTCGTTTTTTTGTTTTTTCGTTTTGTCAATTAATCTTCCAATTGTAACTCCTGAGGGCGTTCATTGACCATCGCGCGTCTCCGCTGAACAGTCGGCGTTTCTAAATCGAGAGTTTTACGATTTTCCACTCATAACTATTGTAACTTCACCATTGTAATTATATTTTCTGACCTCGTTGATTTCTTTTTTGACCACCACATCGTTAGAATTTAAACGTTTCATAATGCGTGCTTATAATATACCTTATGTTTTTTTTTTATCATATAATTTAATTAATTATTTTATTTATATGAATCTTAATCATTAATTAATCATGTCTGTTTTAATCTCCGCGATAAACTAATTTTGTAAATTAAATGCTTTTATTATTCCCGTGATAAAGATATTATTATTATTACTGCGGAAAAATGTAGTAAATAATCAACGGAATTGTGTTTAAACGAACCAAATTTTTTTATTGCAAATTTCAATAAAGTTCATTATGATATATGCAAAGAAGAATTTATTCTATTTTCAAGAATATTATGAAACTTTATCAAAGAAAAGTTAGATTGATCAATTTAAATAAACAACTTGATTTTTATTTTTATTTAATATTTTTGATTGAAGCAAGTATTAAACTTGCCAAGATACAGAAAATATATTTTGAATAAATTTAATATTTACTTGTACGCAGTATATATAGCATGCACAACGTTGACTGAAATTTCCTTCATCTCCTCGCTCGTCCTTCTTTTAAAGTACACACTCCTACATTATATATTTGCCGAAGCAAATGACGGTTGAGGGACCAATCAAGTGCCCTTATTAAGTGCCCGAGTTGTATGTGAGTTTTGCGGAGGAGTCGTGTCACTTTAATCGAATGGTAAGGAAACGTTGGCATTGCAAGAGTTCGCTGCTGCAACTGAAACTTTCGAGATTCAACGTTCATGATACAACTTTCACGATGTGTTTGTCAACATGTCGATAATGACATCCTCGGGAAGTGCGATGCGTCAAGACACACGCTGGTACCCAGCTAGGATTGCCAAATCTAAAAATCTAAATTACCGGACATTTCCTCTTTGATAACGAAACTTAAACGAGATAATACTGGACAGAAATTGTAATCATAAAACTAGATTGAATACAAAATTAATAAGAAATTACTTGCAATATCGTTTTAAAAATAAAGTTTGGTTGAATAAAATAATAAACTACTATTGTTTATACGATATATTTTATTAATATAAAATTAAACCGTTTGGCCAATTTGTCGAATGAACCGATAGAACATCTAGACACGATTTATGCTCGCGATCGTTGCGAATATTTAAATGGAACGCATCCTAAATGGCATTGTTTCTTGCTGCGCTCAACCACTAATGTGCTTGTAAAAGGAACAAAGAGTAGCTAAAATTCGAACTCTTTTACAAGTTTTTCCATTCCAGTGAAATGTCATGAAGGTAGATTTCATTGTATTAATCGGATATACTTAAAAATCGGACATGTAACATCCGGTTTGACTTATTAACCGGATGCCGGACAAGACTCTTGAAAATCCAACACTCCGGGTCAAAGCCGGACGGATTGGCAACCATATATGTATCACGATGACAGTGGGACCGTGACCTCGGGGGATCCCTCGTGTCGATCGGGGGAGATTTGGCGAGCGGATTTTCATCGTAATCCATCCGACACGCCGGGCTTTACGAGGCTTTGTCGATACGTTCGCTTTATAATCCCTAGCTTTTATTTGATAGAATCGCGCCTATACGGATCGACGTGATCGGTTAAAAACTCGGTGCGTCGCTTACACGTGTATAACGTATAATTTGTATGATCGCTCACGTGCTCGCTACTTTAAGATATTATAAAAGGAAGAGCACCAAAACTGACATACCATTTCGTTTTTAGAACGTTCTAGAGCACTCTAGAGCGTTGTTGAAGGTGTAAAATAAAAATTTATGCGCATAGATGCAAACCAGCAATACTTCTGTGTACTTTCAGTTTTCTTTCGAGTTGGTATTCTTTTATAATAAACTATCTTATTTTTATTTAACGTAAATTTAATTTACGACTAAAAAGTTAATTATGAAATTAAGCATGTTCAAGGTTTTGCATAACTAACTTTCTTATCTTTAATAAATTAATTTAATATTAACTTAATTGTTAATTAAGTTAATTTTGGTTTACGTAACTTTTTACTTAATTTGGTTAAACGTAAATACACTAACTTACCAAACCCTGTCAAATTATAACGATGATACAGACGATACAGGAAAAACGCGGAGAGAGATATAGTCTCGTTAAAATTATCAAGTAATGAACTTCGAATCGTTTTAATTGGCTCGACCAAGATATTAGACGGGGAATTAATCACGAATGTCGATTGAAAATTCAATCCGCTCGTAAGTTGAAAGATGCATTTCTTTCTTTTTTATTTCTTCGCCATGTCACTCCCAGGAAACCGGCGTCGTCCTCCGCTGACGGATCTGCGTTCTTCGGAAATTTAATATCGTCTTATCATTTTCTAGGACTTTAAACGAGAGCATCCTGAAGGAATGGGGCGTGAAACCGATGCCGGAATACGCAGATCCTTACCACAAGAGGTGAGGTGAAAGAAAGAATTTAATTTAATCAGTTGAATTGCAACTTTGAGAAAGAGGGGGGGGGGGATTCAGAACTTGAGCGGATTGAGCCCATTAATTGTCGGATGTACTCTGAATATAATGCGAGAAGTACATTATGTATCTACATAAGGAGCTTGTACATAAATAATGAATTCGATTCGCCTTTTTTTAGCGTCCAATGAGTGGCTCGTGTAATCCTTTAATCTCTTTCTGCGCAGGCCGATGACGATGGGCGAGATCGGTTGCTTCCTCAGCCACTACGTCATCTGGCAGAAGGTAACGCGCGAGTATCCTTTCGCGAAGACGCTCTCGCCGAACACTAATGAAGTATTCGAACGTTAGGTGTTAGAGCACGGTTACAAGGACGTAATGGTGCTGGAGGACGACGTCCGCTTCGAGCCGTTCTTCCGACAGAAAGTTCGCTACGTGTTGACGGAACTGTCCGACCTCGGCGTCGAGTGGGACTTGATGTAAGTTTTCCCGGCGAAATTTCTCCCCCTCCATTTCCACGAGGAGAATTTATTCGAGATACTGCTCGCGACTCGAGCTAATGATTCCGTGATTGAGCGGGGTCGATACGGGCAATCGAGGCGACCTGAAGCCATTAAATCATTCTGTTTCAGATATTTGGGCAGGAAGAGACTGATGGAATCAGAGGAGAGCCGTATACAGGGCTCCAAGTTCCTCGTGCGGGCGGCGTACAGCTATTGGACGCTCGGCTATGTCCTGTCGGAGAGCGGGGCGAGGAAGCTGCTGAGCGCTATGCCCCTCGGGAAATTGGTGCCCGTCGACGAGTATCTACCTATACTTTCGGACACGCACCCCAAGTACGTGAATCGAGTATAATTACGCGACGCCGAGAGAGAGAGAGAGAGAGAGCCGTCGCGACAGCGGGCGAAAAAGCCGCGAATTTCCGACGAGTCGGCGGCGAGTCGTCGCGCGAAGATCACGGAAATTCGCGGCTGGCGACTCACAGGTTTCGATGGGTCTTAATGAGGCGCACGATACGAGCTGGTAATTTCGTTAGGAAGCGATGGGCGGCGCAATTTCCTACACGGGACTTGATTGTATTATCGACGGACCCGCTTCTGGTTCATCCGACGCACTACACTGGCGAGGAAGGGTATATCAGCGACACGGAGGACTCGAAAATCATACAGGACAAGGCGAAGTCGCAAACTGTCGGACCACAAACTCGGGAGGAACTGTGATCGGCTAAGGGCTATGGGATGAAAGGGATCTGGAGTTATCTAGTCGACGAAGTCAATCTGCGATCAACTTGCGAGATTCAACAGGAGACTCGATATAGCAAAGCGAGGTAAAGCACGCTCGTCGATTTACACTGCCAGCAATTCGATACCGATCGAACGTGTACACACTGGGGAAAAGATATGTAAAAAATAACAAGTGTTTATTCGGTGAGCATTAATGACGTATTCACTTAAATCTAAGTTCTTTCATTTAATTAGAGTAAACAAATTCCTTTACACGCAAAATTACAGATTTAAGAAAGTGTATATTTTCTCATTTGAAAACAAAATATTTTCCGTAAAAATATGTATATTGGTATAAGTAAATATGTTATTATATGTTATTAGTACTCACCGAGTAAACGCTTTTTTTTTATTTCGTAGATCTTTTTTGTAAGCGATATAGTCTTCTTGTCAAGCAAAGACAACTGCCATATTTTAGAACAATTTTTTTACATCTTATCTCGACATCTAGTGTTTCGTGTAGGACTTTTTTATTTTTTATTTAATATCGACTTTATTTAATACAGACACGCGATTGACTCGCCCGGATACGGTATCGCATACGATGCACGCGTACGCAAACGCGTTTTTATATATTTTTATATATCATATCAACATTGCGAATATATAAATACGTAATGTTATGTAAACGTGCCAATGCTATCAATATATATGTTTCAATATTACGTTCTCTTCAACAATTCTTCGTATTACAATTACGCAGAACACTAAACAATTTTCTGTTCTTTATATATATACACACACATACACATANTATATATATATATATATATATATATATATATATATATATATATATAATGAGCCAATGCATCGCAAATCCGGAAAAACCGGTTAAATCTCGACTTGCAAAAACGGGTCGCGTTATTTGACATGCCGCTGGAAAATTTAGATTTTAAGCGGGAGACACGCGCTGCGAGAATGACACGAGTGAAATTTCATTATATTCGCAAGAGAGAGGCAGGAATTTGTTATCCGCTCGATTTTTCGCATCTTATCTCGCTTGTATTAATTAATCGATTAATCGACGACGCGCTGCCGTCAGAACGGCAGAGCTGTCTCGCTGAATTTCTCGCATACCACGGCTCGTGTTTGACGTAGCGTGAAGCGCATCGACGGACTCTCGTATGGTCGTTAAAGGGGCCTCAAAATTATCCGTTGTACGGAAAGGACGATTTAACGCCGCTGAAACCACCGCTCTTGAGCAAAAATGCAATTTCGAAAGGCTAAACTACACGACGCAGCCTTGATACGAGCCGTGTATCAGGCAAGCAAATAGCTTTACCGACTCGTATGCCGAGCGTTGTCGTAACGGTTGAATCATAGCCGAGTCCCAACCAATTCGCTTTCATTGACTGCGTCGCGCGTGCCACGTACACACATCTCTCTGCGGGAGAAGCGTCGAGGAAGACCGTGTCAAAGATCGAAGATAAACGCATACTGCTATCTCTCTCTCTCTCTCGCATCGACGGGTGATAATACGATTCGACGATCATGGAAATCAACTTCGAAGGAAAGCGTATTCTCGTGACCGGCGCTGGTCAAGGTACGTAATCAGATGTTATGCATGCCTTGATGCTATGATCAGGATTGCTTGCACGATTTTCAACCTTATATTACAAATGCGTAAGGTCGAAAATCCCAGGAAATCCCGGCAAGTTGTATTTGTGTTCACGGAAAAAAGGAATTAGCTCTCACAGCTGAAAACTAGCTATATAATACAACTGAAATTTAGTTACTAGAATATTTTTAGGCGTGGGGACTAATTCTTTTTTTCGTGTACGACTATAGTCATGTAAGAATTAGCTTCCACAGCTAAAAACTAAATCTGGTGATTAAATTTCAGTTATATTATATATATAGTTAGTTTTTAGCTGTGATAGCTAATTCCTTTCCTCTGTGTTGGTCTACGCTTCAGGAGATTTCTGTCCCGAGACGCTAAGCTAAATATAATAATAAATGTAAAAACGATAGACAAATAAGACGCTAGATGTTGGCTACGAAGTTTTTAATAAATCTTAGGATAAATTTGTCCGACAGTGTTGTGCATATGCCGAACTATTTTTCTCGGATTTGCGACGTACGAGTGGCATTATATGGTCAGTCACAAAAAATTTGCTACCATTCTTTTTCATAAGTTCTGCATTAGAATGCGAGATGCATCTTGTGTCTAATAGAATCTTGTTTTTTTAGTAATTCTCAAGAGAGACATTTTCCTATTGGATACCAGATGTGTTGCAAAACTCATAAAAAAAAAGTGTTGCAGTTTTTTCATGATTGCTTGCATTCAGCAGAAGAAACAACTTAATGCTTTGCAATTGCTGCTTCTGATTAATATATTTTCCTAGATTTGTAGAGAAAGATCTAAAAGAATACTCCATCGTGTATAATAATCAAAAGCGCTTAGTAAGCTGTTTTTTCTATTGAACGTAGACACTGACCATACAGTAACCGTCATTTTCCATATCGGGCATACCTTCTTTTTTTCGCCACGCTTACAATTTAAATTTCTACAACGGTGGTTTATTTAATGAGGCATTAATTATCATAGTATGAATATTAATTGCGCATTAAGAGGTTCAATGTAAAGAATGACGATTATTGTACAGTACTACACTCGCATGTCGTAAATTCGAAAAAAAAAATAACCATGACACGTGCGTAACATTGTCGATCAAATTTATTCTCCCGTTAGAATTTGTTAAAAATGTCATAATTAATGTCTAACATCTAGCCTTTTGCCTATCGTTCTTAAAGTTGTTTACCTCAGAACTTTCGTATCTCTCGTACTTAGATAGGCTGAATAATAATATATTGAGATATACACGATATCCGGTCGTATCCTTGTATTGTTTGAATTTCTCCATAGACATCGTACGTTTTCAAAGCCGTAACAAACTGAATCTAATGTCACTGACCAATCTGTTTTCAACTTCTGATGTTAACTCGGTGATGAATTCCGAATTTTTCTCGTATCCCGGCGATCGTGCCCGGTTCGTCAAGATACGGCTTTAGACATTTTTTAGAATCTAAATGTTGTTCGTAAAATAATAATTTGTAAAACGAATAGAATTCACACTGAAGGGAAAGGCTAAGAATAAAAAAAATATTTATTCGGTGGGTACTAATGGCATATTCATTTTAAATCTAAATCCTTTATTTATTATTTATTATCTTAGAATAAACAATCACTTTCCTGAAAAGTTGCAAATTGAAAAGAATATATATTTTCTCTAGAAAAATTGAAAAGAATATATATTTGAGAACAATTTTTTTCTAGTGTAAAATTATACATATAAGTACAAGTAAATATGTTATTAGTGCCCAATAAATATTTCTTATTTCTTAGATATTTTTTTTTTCAGTGTGTAGGCACGGCTAAGCCTCGACAGAAATTCTTTTTGCGCAGCTTCTGATTCCGCAGATTCGATCGATTTTGCGCTTTCGAAATAGCCGTATCTCCCGCGCCGTTTTGCTGAGGAGCACTTCTACCGTTAAGCTGCAATGTTTCTGCTCAAACGAACTCTGTTAAGGAAAACACGCTCCACGTAGAAACACCGGGCTGTATCCACTCCCCGGCTCGCTAACCAACTATTTACTCTTTCCAAATGCATGCTATATCTTCGAAGATACGGTCTCTCCCACAAGTTCCACTGTTTGTAACGCTGTTTAACTCTCTCCTAATGAGCGGTTTAATTCTCAGTCTTGTGTTTATCTTCCGATAATATCGCAATAAATGTCGCATTAATGAAACGGGAAAAATTATAGGACCTGAAATCGGCCCGAGTGGTGACGAACCCTTGCGACAAAAACAAAGTAAGCTCGATTTAATTAAATAAGGTCGCACCATAACGTGAGTTTTCAGTGAAGTGAGATACGGGGGGTCCTTGAAATTTACATTATGCTGATGCGATAAACACACGGTAGCATGACTTTGGTAGAAAATAGGTAATTTATACTCGAACAGCACAAATTAATTGGTTTCCCAACGTTGCCCAAACATTGGGTAAAGATTAGCCAATCAATTTGTGCTGTCTGGATACATTTCAATGTGATTTCATCGAAATGTAACAGCTGAAATGGTTTGAAATCAAAAACAAACCTTACTCTTTATTTTCTCCCCGAAATTATATCTTCGAATCACATTTAAATGTGTCGTATGGCATCATCGGAACTAAGATATACAATAAGTTTAATCGATATATCAAAATATTCGGCGGAATCTCTCTAGATTCTGGAATCGTCGCGAATGAGGGCTTATTGAGACGTTTATTACTCCTTTCTGATTCTTTTATACCTGCTGGAATGCAGTCAACGAGGAAGGGAAAAGAATTGCCAATCGCTGTAAAAACCTTATTATATCTTAGTTCTTTCTACAAATAACGCCCAGAGTAATAAATATTTCACAATATTGTGTCAAACATCGATTGAACGACATTTTGACGAATATAATCGTTAAGTTTTCATTTTAAAATATTGATTATTAACTAAGTTCTTACATAAAATGTAAATAGAGGGAGGAGGTTACATAGCATCGTCTTCTCCTCTGTAAGTAAAAAAAGATGCTATCTCTGTCGAATAAATATTTTTTTATATTTCTTAGATATTTTCTCTCGCAATTTAGTTCCCGCGATATGAGATATCTCCGGGAGGTCACCCACTTCAACGAAACCAATTCGAAATGCTTTTGATCTCGTCTCCTTTAATCTCGTTTCCTCGATGTGTAGATACAGCATACGAAATGCTTCTTTTTCCGGAATCGGGACCAGTACCGTGCGAGAGAACGAGACTTCCAACTTGATATTACAACAAGTTGCATTATTCACACTCTTTCTCTCTTTCTCCCTCTGGCGCAACCGACCACCATATGTTATTGATGAAATTGCAACAGGTATCGGTAGGGACCTGGCGCTGCGTCTGTCCAAGTACAAAGGGCAGGTATTCGCGCTCTCGAGGACGCAGAAGAACCTGGACAGCTTGGCCGCGACCGATCCGAAGATTCGGACGATCTGCGTCAACCTTCGCGACTGGGACGCGACCAGAAAGGCCGTGCAAAGTATCTTGCCGATCGATCTCTTGGTCAACAATGCCGCGGTCGCTGTACTGTCACCGTTTTTGGACGCCACGCCCGACCAGTTCGACCTGCTCATGGATGTCAATGTGAAGGCTATATTGAACGTGTCGCAGGTTGTAGCTCAGAGCATGATCGAGCGGAAAAGCGGCGGCAGCATCGTAAATATATCGTCGCAAGCCAGCCAGGCGGCATTGAAGGATCACGCCATTTATTGCACATCCAAAAGCGCTGTTGACATGTTGTCGAAGTAAGATAATTAAGTAATCGTCGCGATGCGGAGATAAGAATTCGCGCCTCAGCCGACATCTTCGCTTCGTTTACCGTCGACGAACGTAGAAGACGCAGAACTCGAGTATTTGACGAAGAACCACCTTAGAAACTGAGCTTCGTGTCTGTATTACGAGGTGGTAAATTTGTATCTAACGTCGCTGTTAGCCAGCTATGTAACCCTTGTGTTTCTTAGCGTTTAGATAATGGCTATATAAATAATAAATAAGTTAGTTGACGGTTAAAGAAAAGAAATTAAAGTTACGGAATGAAAAAGTGTAACTAGTTGCCAGGCAGTGATGTACGCTCATGCTACTAACTTATGATTCAGATCGACTAGATATTTTCTACTCGGGTAATGTTCGAGTGAATTTGAAATGTGCGCGACAGGGAAAAAAGTTCTCAAATATTTATGAAGTCAAACTGATCGACTTGCCGTGGATATTTACTTAGCAAAATTACGACCGTGCGTCACCCTTCGCTTCGCAGTTTCACAAGAAGTCCCTATCGGTTTGAATCCCTTACCATTCGAGGTTTTTATTATCAACGTCTTGACAAGTAATTAACTTCAATTTTGTCAAAGAAAGTTCTTAACAATCTCTATTTTCTAATTTAAAAAAGTCGCTTTTTCTCATTTTTTTTCTCGGAAAGAAATCGAAAAAATCCGTGGAGAAAAACCGAAAAACCCCGTAGAAAGGTAGAAAAAACCCGGATTTTTCCCGAGCCTTTAAAATTATATTCTGTTTGCAGGACAATGGCTCTCGAATTAGGCCCGCACAATATAAGGGTCAACACTGTAAATCCTACGGTTGTGATGACAGAAATGGGAAAATTGGGTTGGAGCGATCCGCAGAAGGCGCGAGATATGCTCAGTAAAATCCCGCTCGGTCGATTCAGCGGTATGTTTAAAGCCAGTATCAGATTAGGATTGAGATTGGATTGAAATTCTTGAAACCCAAGTTTAGTGAGGTTTACTCTGATTGGCCAAATTTCAATCTGTTTCCTCGCTGCAACTATCTTGATTAATAACATCAGAAAAGTCAACGAGACAATATATGCCTAAAGTTTTTGCGGAATATATTGAAACGAAAGGATATGTCCATAAAATGATACTTGTGGTCGATTGAGAGCATATTTGTAAAATATCTCGAAAACTTTCCTTTTAATTTAATAATAAATAAATGATGATAAAACTAATGTGACAAAATCGTGAGAAAAGATGGTTAAAAAAGAAGATTGCAAGTCATGTTAATTTTACAGTCATTTATTGATTGTTAGAGCGAAAGTTTCCGGAACATTTTACAAATCTGCTCAATCGTTCAAAAGTATCATTTTATGGACACTTTCTTTTGTTTCAACGTATCTTGCAAGAATTTTAGGCATACATTTCTTCGCTTCTGACGTCATCAAACAATAATACAATAATACAACAAACGATAATACAATAAAAAACCAAAAGCCTTAAGATATTGTAAACGTTGTTGCAGAGGTTGATGAGGTGGTGGATGCTATCGTATACTTATTGAGTGATCGAAGTTCCATGATCAACGGGGTCTGCTTGCCCATCGACGGTGGTTTCTTGGCCTTGTAAGCAGGAGTCAACGATAACTCGTCATCTTGAAGAATGAACGCTCCGTCGTTGTGGATGAATGAAGATTTGTTCTTAATTGGTCTGTTTTTTTAGCTGCACTAGAATTCAAGAAATATCCATATAATAAATGTACGTTGAAGTGTACAAAACGTACATACGAGATCCTCATGCTTCAGTGTAATTAAATTTCTTGAACTGGTGCAACCTAACAGTTCAGCCTAAAAGAACAAACCAAAAATTTATATTATTCCATAAAAAGTAACAAAGTCTGCATATCTTGAATGTGACAACATCGTTTATATCCTAAACTTGAAATAAAGACGAGAAGAAGAAATGCAACTGATTACTGTCAAATAGTACATTACGTCAATTAGGATTCTCCAACCAAGAATCATCGGACATCCCTATAAGCGCGTAATATTATTTAATATTAAGTAATAATTCTGGAATATTAATTGATAGTTATATATTCACTCCTAATAATACTTAAAAAATAATATTATTTAATGTTATTGTAATATTATAATTTTTCCTATATTATTATTATTTCGTTTATCGTTCGATGTAATATTCTAACGACAGTTTTATAATGTACCAAGAATATTATATATTATATTTAATAATAATCATATAATATTCTATGAATTATTACACGCTTATAGGGGAACTCGTACGGGGAGGGAGGGGGGGAAAGGAGGGCCTGGAGGAGAGTGAAGAGCCACGTGAGCTTCGTTCGTTTCGTTTAATTTAAAAAATGCTTCGTTTCCTCTTTTCTTCATCTTCAACTAGGTTCGACAAACAGGCGGCGACAGAGGAGGCCGCGAAAGGGCCGTGACACACACGCGGGGCACGCTCCCCCGCCGAGTATTTTCGAAAATATTCTACCGAAATACAGCGCGCACGCTATTCTCGCGAGATGACCTCCTCTGCCGTGGCTGCACTCGATCTAAGAACGCGAACGCTTCTTTCGGCTCCTAATTTGCTCCTACGGTAAAACATAACGTGGCGGAGAAACTAAGACGGCCTGCTGAGAAGGAAACAATACAAATTGTTGTTGATGTTGCACACATACTCACGCATACATACTCACACTCTCTCTTTCTCTCGCTCTCTTTCTTTCTCTCTTTTCTCTCTCTCTCTCTCGACTTGCCGCTTCTCACGGCGAGATACACTTCAATCTGGTTGTGCATGATTACATGCTACATCGGTACGAACCAAGCGCCGAATGCGAAACGCGAACTTAATTTATTAGGACACGCAGCCTCTCCTCCCGATTAATTCCCTTTCCGGTCGCGCAACACGTCGCGAACAGCACCGACTACACTCTCTGTAGTGATACATTTTTATTCTCGGAAGTAGACTCTCGCGCGAGCCGGCGAGAGTCCACCGACCGTCGAAACGCGCCAACAACAAACTCGCGCAAATCGCGCCATCCCATCGGCCCTCCTCCGCGAGTCGAAACTTGAGCGAGCGTGACGCCTTTGTGCTCCAGGTATCTCTCCCTACGTTTGCCGCGTCTCTCTCTCTCTCTCTCTCTTCGCTCATTTTATAATTACACACGCACACACATACAGAGTTTCGGCCGAAGTGGAGCGCGCCAGGCGGCGAAGATCAAATTTCCTAACGTCGCTCATCTCGCGTGACGTGATCTCCCTGATGTCGCGAACGTTGTTAGGGGAGCGAACGGTAGCCTTAATTTACACAATGTCGTTCTCGCAATTTATTGCAGGTCAACAGCAGGCAGAGTGCTCTCCTCGCCGGTTCGCGCCCTTGCTCCTTCCCCTCGAAACCTATCGGTGGCGAAGGAAGCTTCTCCCAACGAGCAAGCGCCGCGCAGCACTGACGATTTCCCCTCCCCTTTGCTCTTACAATTAAACAGTTCATTGTTCTTAGGCAAGAATGCGATATATATGTGTACGTACGTTAATGCGAGTGCTATACATACATAAAGACGATCGGTCACGGTGATCACTGATCAACAAGGGCGGGACGCAACAGGAGGAAACCGCACTCTGCGGTGCAACGAAGGATGCACAGGTATTAACCCATTTACATTTCTCCGGTGTGTTCCGTCGCGCAATCTCAATAATAAACAACTAAAATATATCTTGGTCCAGAACGATGACATAATATACAGAAATTAAACACTTCTTTTCTCTCTCAACACGATAAAAAAAAAGTAAAAAAAAAAATAAAATACGACGAATATAAAAAGTAAAGAAATTAGACAACGAATTGATTATTCGTTAAATAATTGACATTTGTGTCAGGGTGCGACTTCCGTAGAGACTGTTTTCTCTTAACACGATTATAAAGAAATTATGAAAAGGATGAAACATAACGAATATAAAAAAATAAAGAAATTCGATAACAAATTGATTGTTCATCGAATCGTCTGCATTTGTCAAGGTAGTCTCTGCAGAGACTGTTCCAATCGAAGGAAATGAAAGAAGGTAGATTGGATAGGTCGCTAAATGTACATGGGTTAATGATCGCATCGTCCGACGACCGACTGTATCTCGAGTTCTCTCGTCAAGCCGGAACGAAGTACAAATGCAAAGCAACCGAGAAACAGGGCTATTATATCGAATAAACCACACTATTCCACTCTCGCTTCCTCTTTTGCTCTCTCTCTCTCTCTCTCGCACTAACCAACACACTTCAACTATAGGTATAGTTGTTTTTGTCATATGGTACACAAAGACAGTTTACAGTATTTATTATTTAGTTGCTCTCCCTCTCTCTCTCTCTCTCTCTCTCTCTTTTTATCCCTCTCGGTCTTGCCGTTCTCTCTTCGACTTTACCGGACTCTTTTACCTAAAACTCTCTCCCTCTCAAACACACACACACCTACACGCACTTATTCTCACGTATCACGCGCGCACTTTTACTTCTTCCACGAGCACACACACACATTTGCACATTATCATAATGTTCTTTTCGCCTCAATAGATTATAATAGTAATTGTATATACATATACAAACCGTTTCGCCTTGATACACAGTTCGATTAGTACACTTAGAATACATCGATTGTGAATTATCATCGACACACCTGCCGTAATCATCGTAACATCCTATCACCGAGGGAGACCATCGGAGCCTCTCGTCGTTCTTTTTCTTTTTTAACAGAGTCTCTCAACGTGAACTCCCACGTGCTCGCAAAAACGTCACCTATGTATTCGCGAAAGCTTCCCTAGGCCGGCCGAATAAGCATGTACGGTTCATAACTATGACCCACAATTGCGCAACAAAAAGAACGCATTCATTTATTTATTCATTCATTCATTCATTCATTCATTCATTCATTCATTCATTCATCCTCTCTCTCTCTCTCTCTCTCTCTCTCGGTAATTACAGCTTTCGGCGCGACAATCTGCGTTCTCCTCGTGGCCCGGGACGCAAGACCAACCGCAGAATGTGGAAACAAAAGAAAGTCGGCCGCTGAAGACGCTGGGATCATGTAGTCCGGTAATCAATTTTCTTCGTCTTCAGTTGCAATTCGGTATAACTCTCCACGTAATAACAAACATGAACCACCTGTTCAGTGAACAGGGATGGTCTTTATAGTTTTGCAAAGACCATCTTCATCTTCGCTCAACAAAGTAGAGTTCATCCTATCGGAAAATGTACTAGAATCATGATGAACTTTTGAAAAGTTCTCCCTTTCGTAGCTTTGCGTCTCGATAAAAAATCGTAACTCCTAAGTGAAACATCAGTACGATAGCGTTGGAGAGAGAGAGAGAGAGAGAGAAAGAAGCGGGATCTTGAGTCTCTTGATCCGTTAAAATTTCGTCGGATATCATTTGTTGATACGTGTTATACGCGCTATGACGACGAGCCTTCTTCATTGAATCGACGCTCGAAGCTCGACGTAAGAATGTAACAAATTCACGTTGAGAGAAAAATATCTAAAAACAAACGAATATTTCTCTGGTGGGTATTTACACGAGGTTTGCTTAAATCTAAATTCACTTTATTTAAGTCGAGTATTATTTACTTAAATCGAGTAAACATTACTCGGTTTAAATAAGGATAATTTAAATTTAAGTAAATATCGTGTAAGGACACTCATCACGAAGAAATATTCGCTCGTTTTTAGATATATTTTTCTCAGTGCACCGTTTGTAAGGTACATTCGAGATAGACTTGATATTTTGAACGGACCTTACAACAATGTATACGTATATAATCATGAATGTATACCGTAACATGTATAATTCCCAGTAAACACCAAGCAACAGTAACATTACATCGATGTTAAAATTTTCCGCTCAATAATATAAGTGCGGAACAACGTACGTTATACACAGAGTGTCCGTTGCTAAGTATCCCATTGGTCGTATATTTGTAATTTAGGTCAATGTGAACGAAAAAGCCCTCTATACGGCAGCCGATATACTTATTGACAAGTTCAAAGTTCAATATATCGATGCCTGTCGCTATATACAACAGCGGTCACATATTTGTTGATTGGACCATTCCGAACAGAAAAGTCCTTCGCCACTTTGCGAATAACCGCGCAAATTTCTGAGTAATTAATTAAAGAAGCTTCTATACACCGTCATTTTCCATCTTCAATAATTAACAATTCGAGATCCGGCATACACTGAGAGAAAACTGTATCTAAAAACGAACGACTATTTCTTTGGTGGGTCCTCATACGCGATATTTACCGAAATCTAAATTCACTTCATTTAAACCGAGCATTATTTACTTAAACCGAGTAAATAATATATACTCGGTTTAAACGAAGAAAATTTAGATTTAAGCAAATATCGTGTAAGGACTCACCGGAGAAAATATTCCTGTTTTTCGATTTTTTTTTCTCAGCGTAGTTGTTTGCAAAATGGAGGACTTGATTGTTCACATTGACTTGAATTGAACAAGTACATACTGGAACACTTAGCGACAGGACACCCCGTGCAACAGTTACATCGTCGAGTGGGAAATCATAAACATCATCGTGACGTCAACCGGTTGGCCATTTACCGGGATGTTCGTCTCGATG